CAAACAAGTTGGAAATATATGTTCCTTGCAACATGTTGTTAAAATAATCGAATTTGGAGAAAAAACGCTGGTTTTGATGTAAGTGGATCACGGAAAGTTTAAAGTTTTTTGCGGCCACATGATATTTGGTATGAATAATCTGCCAGGGTCCCAAACTAACTGCATGTATCTAAATTATCAAATTATCTACATATAGACAAATATATTTCGCAGTTTTATATGCAATCAAAATTAATAATTTGAAGAACCCATATGGGAACAAGGCCTGTTATATATCGTAACGTAGTTTATACAAGGTAACCTTGTTACATATATATGAAAGGATAAAAATGTTAGGAAATTTGGTAAAATTATGCCTATCTTGGACTTTCATTTCAAGATGCATTAAACACTCGAGTTCATGGATATGTGTGCTTGCGTGTTTGTGATAAAAATAAAATGATATTTTAATAATACCCATTTTATCAATCAAATGCTATGGATTTTGGAGGCTGCGTTCTGTTTTATATACTTCATGAAGTAGGTACGAGACCACAAGTGACTTCGATGTTTCGATTTTTTATGTGAGAAAGTTTTCTTACTTCCGTACAGAATGGCGGTCGTTTTACTCAGGTGCCTGTTCGTTCCTTTATTTATACCCAAAGGGGCACTTGTAAAACTCGAAAGTCGCCACATGATAATGTCAGTTTTATTAGGCGTGAAACCAAATCGAAAATGACATAATTACATGAATTAAAAGTTATTTTTAAAGCTTCATGCTTTAAACCTTAAAAATTTAAGCAATGGCGACTACAATTTTATTTGTTTGGGTCGTCAAACCAATATATATTGGTAGCGAAATTTCAGGCTCTGATATGCTTATTTGCAAAATAAGAAAGTAATCCGAACCCCTGGAAGCGGTTACTTACCTTTATATGTACTCTAACGCTGAAAAAATAAGGGGGGATCACTGTAATATGATTGTCAAATGACGGGCGCATTAATTTTCAAGCCTTCTCGGGAGAAGAAAAAGTAGTTCCCGATTGGTCAGATTTCAAATATTGTGTAATTCTTTACAAATATACATGTAATATTAAGCTCCATGATTATTTACATCAGTGTCAAACGAAATTAATAAGGGTTTCAAACCCTAATTTAGAATGATATGGTTTTCTTCAGACTGTTATCTTATAACTTCCCCGTGGTCGAGGGGTTACACGCTCATTTAGGAAGAGAGATGTCCTGAGTTCAAATCCTAGTTAAGGCAACTCATGTTTTTTGTTTTTGTTTTTAATTGTTTAAGCCAAATAAACAATGAATTACATATCACTATTGCAATAAGCCTTATAGCCAATTTACTAGTTATGACACTAGAAACAACATTGGTGGCACTATACAAAAACAAATTGGTTTACAATCTCACAGCCTTCACCTTTCTGACATTCTGAGACCCAAACAAATTCAGCGCCTTCTGTGATTTGATTTAATTAAACATGACCATGATATTGCAAAATTGTACCTTGTAGACTTGCTTATTAACAAAATATAAATATATATAAACTGTTATCAAGTTATGATACTTTTCAGCGATTTAGTTTATGACCTTGTTTTATTTTTTCAGGATGTATCTTACTTCACTTTAACTAAAAGAAATAAAAATAACAATAAACAACAATGAACATAGCATTATATAACAACATTTTCTTTCTATAGAGCGCAACTACCTGATTCTGTGAAGATCGAAGTGTTTAACATACCCTAGTTTATTTTAAATAGGACAATTACATGGAGGTTGTAAATGTTAAGCGTGATCTCTTGAAATATAGTGCACAAATACATATAAACATTACAAGTAAGCATTATGATACATTGCAAAACAGGTCCCTGGGTTCTCGTTTTAATTAATAAAATGTATAACTATGAAAAAAATCACTCCCATTATAATTGAAATTAAATTTTAATATATTTTATTTTAGAATTATTACAAGGACAGAAATTGTGTGTGTACCGTATCTTTTGAAATAACAGTGTGTTCCGTACCATTTCAACATAACTTTATGAAAATATGCTAAAACATCACTGCATTCACTTGATACATTGGATATAGTAAATATATCAGATTTAATATGTATTTTTCTATGAAATAGTGTCAAAAAACATATGACTTGCTAGAAATTGCTTGTTATGACAAATGAGTGTGTACCGTTCCCCTCGGCCCAGGCTATGAAAAGAAAACTGTACTCGAATGTTCTCAAAAACCATTCAAGGGTTTTCAGAATTTTGATATACCGTGGATAGCTGATATAATTACGGGTACTCTGCGCCTTATCTGATCAAAATCGGTTGAGTAATAAATAAGTTATGAATAAAAAACATACCTGAATCGGGTGAAAAATCGGCGTGTTCCGTACCCGAAAAGTCACGTGGTATGGCCACATTGTTATTACACAAATAAATCTGACTGTCGAGTAGTGGAATATATACATGTTGGACTTTTATGGCGAGAAGATTTTCACTTAATTTTTTTATATCAGTGTTTTGGCAATTTTTGATTTTTGGCAATTTTGAGACGTCCCCCCGTTGCCATGGAAACAGGAAATTTACCATTGAGCATGATGTTACAGAGGCTATGGTGTAGTCAACATTTGTGCCAAGTTTCATTAGTATTGAAGCATTTTTCATAGTTTCATAGCAGTTTGAACTTGTTACAGGAGGCTTTTCAATGAAAACGGCCATTTTTCGCAATATGCTCATGGGGTAAAAGGTTAAGGAAGTAGCCACGATATGCAAGGAAAAGTGCGGCTGTCATACAAAATGAACATAAATGATTTTTTGATGCAACTCTAGTCATGCAAAATTCCGTATGTATCAAACTAAAACTGTTATAGTAAAAAATCTAAACGCAGTCGCTGCATCTTGGTGCCATGTAAGATGAATTATAGTTTAGAAAAATAAACTTATACAGGAAAATACATACATATATACAGTACGATTTAGATTGCGAAGATCAGAAAATACCACAGAGCTTGTAGTCCTTTGATTGCTCTTGAAATTGATTGTATCATAAGATTTGTTTAAAATGAACTTTTGGTAAGACTGAAAACACTATGTCATCATTTAAGTCGCGTTAATGGTGTAATTATTGGTGTTACATTTCAGTTTTTTCATGTTTCAGTTAAAATTTCTACATGTTATTTTGCTTGATTTTAAATATTAAAATCATCTTTACTTTGTAACTCAAAATTTATTTTATCAACAAACAAAGAGCATTTAGAAAATGATGATTGTTTCAGACATACGCACAATTTAATGGACTATTATTGTTTTTTGCAGAAATTTGTAAAATGTTGTTCTGTTTTACGTAAATATCAAGAGATTTAAAATATTTTGTACAAAAACTTTGTTGTATAGTTGTATGGATAAAATATGCTAATTCTGACCAATTTTAACACAGGTCACATGAAAATATGCCAATACCGTGAAATAAGTGATGACGCGGAATTAGTGTTGTTGAGTATAAGACAATTTTCCTTCGTCCATCCGTATCGTGATACGTATTTATCATGGACAATGTATCGTAAGTGATACGTATCGTTTCATGTATATACGTATCGTTTCATGAACCCTGTTCGTGATACGTATAGTTTCATGAACCCTGTATCGCGATACGTATAGTTTCGTGGACCCTGTATCGCGATACGTATAGTTTCATGAACCCTGTATCGCGATACGTATAGTTTCATGAACCCTGTATCGCGATACGTATAGTTTCATGAACCCTGTATCGCGATACGTATCGTTTCATGAACCCTGTTCATATCGCGATACGTATAGTTTCGTGGGCCATGTATCGTGATACTTATTGTACCATTGACCCTGTATCGTGATACGTATTGTATCATGGACCCTGTATCGTGATATGTTTTGTACCAGGGACCCTGTATCGTGATACATATTGTTTCAAGAAAAAAAAAGGAAAAAAGATAGAAGATCATTTCTTTTTCAATACTAATCTTATTATTAAGGAGAGGCAAGGATTTTTCAAAAGTATATGAATATTTTTGTTATATTCCATTTCAAATATGAAATATTTACACAATACAATGATAAAGTTGAGAGTGTTATGCTTACATAATTTTTCAAAACATAGAGTACATGTCTCAAGTTTAGGAATATTTCATTTGATCTTTGATCTCATTATTTTTATTGTGACTTACATGTCATTTGATATGACCCTTGATTGGAAATAAAAGTTATTCCATTTTATTCTATTCTATGGTATAAATTGTTCTCAATTTAAAATCAATTTTTATTTGTTTGGGTCGTCAGACCAAACAAATAATGGTAGCGAAATTTCAGATTCTAATGCTGTTAATTGCAAATGCCGAAAGTAGTTCGCTTTTTTGACAAGTGTTAAACAACAGTTAGCGTCGTTACAAACCCTAATTAAGAATAATATGCTTTTCTTCAGGTCAATTACATAGTTTCTTTAACGTCTTTATTTGATCTTTGATCTCATTATTATTATTGTGATTCACATGTCATTTAACATGACCCTTGATTGGAAATAAAAGTTATTCTATTCTATTCTATTCATATATGTCCACCGTGGCCGAGGGGTTTGCGCGCTCGCTTAGGAAGCGAGAGGTACTGAGTTCAATTCCGAGTTGAGACAACTCATTTTTTTTCAAATTGTTTTTATTAAAGTCAAATAAACATTGGATTCAATATCAGTGTTGCAATTAGTCTTATAGCAAATCTACTGGAAAGCATTGGTGGCACTATACAAAAACAAAATTGTTTTATAATCTCACAACCTTCACCTTTTTGACATTCTGAGACCCACTTCTGTGCTTTGATTTGTTAAGCTGTCATTTCGTATCTTTGTTGCCGATAAAATTTTTATACAAATTTCGTTTAATTAAAATCTTCTCGGCCCATTCGGAACTGCCTCGGCTATTGTCCTTATCCGAAGACTGACGGAAAGGGCCGAAAAGATGCGATTGATGATTGGTATAAAAATAGTCTTTGGCGCATGCGTTTGAAAAAGGTAATCGACAACTTCCGGCACGTTGCGACATTAAAAAATGGCAGATTCTGATGACAAGAGCACGTTATTGCCAGTAGTTGTTGATTACATCAAACGAAAATGCAAAGAGTTTGTTCCAATGTTGAACAAGTCACCCAAGGTAATGGTCGGTTTAATTTTCTGGGGTTTTTACCTCCGATTAAAGGTTTAAAGCGCTTTATAATTCACGATATTTTACCACGTGTTTCAACCCACGTTTTATTGTCTGATTTGTGTTTGTAATTATATTGTATTTATTCACTTATAATGCATAAAACAAATAAATTGACCTTTATCTGTTTATATACAAACTAAATTGTGTTTCAAATGTGACTGACATGGAGTAACATGAAATTATAAAATCCAGGGTTTTTTTTGCTTATTTTATAGCCGTTATTGGGTTATATTCCCAATTGAAAATAGTATATTATTTTCCCAATCCACAGGAATAAAATCCTAATTGAAAGTTACAAAATTAAAATATTAAATAAAAACTCTTAAATCTTTCAAAATAAGGGCTCCTTTACTGTAATAGTGCTTAAATGTTTGAAGATGGCATCCTAGACAGTAACTGTTCACTGTAAAATTTCAGTCATGCATTTTTTCCCCAATTTTTAACAAAACACTGCTGAAATTCCCAATTTCATGGGTATGGGTCATGTTCCTAAAATCCTTAAAAAAATCCCTTGAATCAGGGTTAGCTCGGCCCTAAAACGTACTCGGTCCCCCGAGTCAGCTCGAACCTATTCCAATTCGACATGGGTCAACTCGCCTATAATTATATATTACTGGTAATGATTACTTTTATTACTTTTTATTATATTTAATAGGGGTGTAACAATACAGCAAAAACCGTATTGCAATATATTGCCATTTTGCTGAAGCATATTGCAATATATTGCAATACGTATTGTCATGTATATGTTTTGATGTAAAGATGGAGTAACATTTATATATTATTATTACATGTATATATTTTTAGTAGAAACTTAATAAAAATGTAAGGAATAAATAGGAAGTAAAGTGTCACACAATTTGATCAACAAAACTAGTTGCGTGTGACCTTTCACATCTGGGCCGCTAATGTAAATTATGCGGCCGCTTATTGACTTTTAAGTGTACTGGTTGTTGAATACTTTTATCTTACGTTGGCACCAACAAATTCGCCAATTATAGATTTTATGTGAAATTTGTACAAAATTAGAAGGCAATTAATTGAAAAATATGATTTTAATAAAATACCGGTTTTCCAAAAATCGTACCGCGGTACGAAATTTGTTTTTTCATATTGCAATATATCGGTATACCGGTAAACCGTTACACCCTTAATATTTAATGGCTGGGGCATATAGTGTTGCCCTGTTCCGTCATTCCATCATCATCTGGTTCCTTTCATTATCTTAGAAACGGTTGCCCACATTCAACATAGGAACTCGAGAACGGGACCGCAGATTGCGGTGCATATTTTCGATCGTGTAACGGTTTTTAAAAATGTTTCTGCATGAGTTTTTCCCCTTTGGCTACAATCGATTACTATATTTTAAGAATTTTGTTCCCGTTATTTTTGTCAACTATCAGGTATCGTCCTAATATAACGTCAAGGTTTATTGTTTACACGAGTTGACATGTATAGGCGGCATTATAACAGGCGTATTGGTGTTTTGATTTGTAAACATGGAGAAAACAGACACTTTTGTAAGATGGCCCAACTGATTTTGCCTAACTGAAAAAAGGAATATTAAAACATGATTCATAGATAAATATTTTAGGCACTCATTAATTAAAAATTAAAACAAAAATCAACAAGCATATCAACTTACGCCGAATGTTGCGGTAAATGGCAGATGTCACTCCTTTTCTTTTTTCAATATACCTGAATTTGACTGATTTTTAAATTAGCAGATTATATTAAATTCAGGCTTTCAAGCGGGCCCTACTTTTCCTTCTTTTCCTACTTTTCCCTACTTTTTTGTTTGACCCCTACTTTTCCCTACTTTTTTCTTGAAATGCCCTGCTATCCCTACTTTTTTAAGAAAAAAGCTCGAGGATAATTGATAAAAAATCCAGTATAAGTTGTAGATTGATTTTGATATAATCTTTATCTCAAATTTAATAAGAATCAGATGCTAGTTTAATTGTAGGAAAATGTTGATGGAAGTAGGTCATCAGTGGTGCAAGAGGGGTTCCATGATGAGGATGGTTGTAGCTGACATCGCAGAATCAGCGACTTTAGGTGAGTTTGCTTCTTTAGAAATATTACTTAATGGTCAATTATTTTTTATGTTTCATTTCAAAATTATAATATGTTTTTTTACACTGAGACTAGCTTCTCAATTGTTTCATTTCAAAATTATAATATGTTTTTGTACACAGACTATTTTTTTAATTGTTTCATTTCAAAATTATAATATGTTTTTGTACACAGACTAGCTTCTCAATTGTTTCCTTTCAAAATTATAATATGTTTTTGTACACAGACTAGCTTCTCAATTGTTTCCCAATGATTCTTATGCTGAGGGACAATACTTGCCAACATCTTTGAGCATAAATAGATTTTAGGCAATGTTTGGCATATTGGCAAGTATTGAAGTTGCACACTGTGATCATTTTGTCCTGAATTTTCATTAAATGAAAGATACTGGAAAAATGTAGGGAGTGTTTCTGAAAAATACATATGCATAATTAGATAGAATTAGATAGCTTTAATATGGTGGGGATGAAGAATCTTTATAACAGATAATTTAAGAATAACTAACTGTGTGTTTAGGCTTTCAGTGTGCCAATTATTAGTAATATAATCATTAAAGTTGTGAGAGATTGTTGTTGCATAACAGGTTTTTTGCTCTCTATCATTAAATATATAATATGGCATAAATACTCATCTCTACCTTGGAATGATCTGAGACCTACTTACATGTCTCGCAAGTGTCATTAAGTTTCTTTTTAAATTCCATTTTACTCTCAATCTATTATTTTAGGCCCATTAATTTATAAAAACTTCACAATGCCACAGTCATGAACACACAAAATTTAACAATGCATGGTTAATGCAAAAAGATGAAAATGGACATGAACTCCATTCCTGGTGTAAAAAGGACTCTTAACTCTGAATACAATGGCTAAGTAATACATTATGAACTGTAAACCCTTGCTTTGATTTGTCAGTTTTGCATGTACTTACTTTGCATACTAACTGCTTGTGTATATATCTTAAAATTTACTTTTGATTGTTACAAGTATCTATTTTGCATGCCTAGGTAAACTCCATGCACAACTAGGATGCTAGTAAACCTTTGCTTTTTTACATTTACTCCTTTTCATTTTCTAGTGTGTTATAATGCTAGTTAAAAAGTCATGTTTTAAAACCTATCCTTGTTCTAGTCTGTGTTTCATATATACATGTACATGTATTATGCTATCTAAAACTATGTTTTTGCACATAACATTTTCCTTGTTTGTATTTTGTAACAACCATGCTATCTTAACCCTTTCGCTGCCAGAGGGTTATTGTTTTATTGATCACCTATTTGCCAGAGGGTTTTCTAAGAAATTACTATATTATTATTTAATATAATCATTATTATTTGTTATTAATATTATAATGATTATATATATTTCCAAATCTGTGAGTATAATCAAAATTATTGTCAATTGTATAATTTTCTTTATAATTATTATTATTTTTATTATTATTATTATTAATTTATTATTATTAATATTATTATTATAGAAACGGCTTAAGCCGTCCATATGGCAAATATGCCAAAAATAACAGGGAAGGTCCCTATGGCAGTGAAAGGGTTAAACAAGGTTTTTACACATTTCCTGTATCTAGTCTGTGTACAAAAAACATGCTTACTTAATTTTTAATGTTGCTAATAGTCTGTGTTCTGACATATTCATTGTTTATAGTTTTCTTTTGTTATTTGGAATTGGATCTAATAAAAAAAAATACCAATTCCAGTTCATGTCCAGATTCATCCTGTTGTGGAATCCCTATTGAGACACTGGTGACTGGTTTCCTAAATGAAGAAACTGCCATGGATTTTAGTTGATAAGGGTCTGTATTTGTTTTTGCATCAACTTTGGAAAAATGGTGAGTAGAGTCCTACTTTCCCTACTTTTAGGCTCTGAAAATCCCTACTTTCCCTACTTTTTTACAAAAAAAATCCTACTTTTATCCCTACTTTTTAGTCCCCTACCGGTTTACCGGAGGGGACTTTAGGTTTACCCTCTGTCCGTCTGTCCGTCCGTCCGTCCGTCAGTCCGTCCACAAAACTGGATCCCGCGATAACGGAAAAAGTACTGAAAATATTTTTATGAAACTTGGTATATGGATAGATGGCAGTATGGAGATTATGCACGTCTTTTTCTTTTCTTCCTATGTTGCAAATTCTGGTTGCTATGGCAACAAATAGACTGAAAATATGACAAATTTTACACATAAACTGGATCCCGCGATAAAGCAAAAAGTACTGAAAATATTTTTATGAAACTTGATATATGGATAGATGGCAGTATGGAGATTATGCACGTCTTTTTCTTTTCTTCCTATGTTGAAAATTCTGGTTGCTATGGCAACAAATAGACTGAAAATATGGCAAATTTTACACATAACCTGGATCCAGTGATAACACAAAAAGTACTGAAAATATGTTTATGAAACTTGACAGATGGGTAGATGGCAGTATGGAAATTATGCACATCCTTTTCTTATCTTCCTATGTTGAAAATTCTGGTTGCTATGGCAACATATAGACTGAATTTCAAGATTTCTTATTCTAGTTTTTAAGTTTTTTCACTATAAGTTCTTTATTTCTTAAGGTATTTTCTTCAAACTTTAGATATAAGTTGCTTGTCATCAACCACATCATATGTGACAAGGTTTACAACTCTAGTACAAAATTTATCAGAATTACCTCCCTTGAACTTAAAATTTTCATGAAAAAAACATTGTTTTTTTTTAATAACTTCTTTTTCTGATTGTATCTACTTCAAACTTCATATAAATGTTTCTTATTGTCACTCAACATTTGTGAGTGTTCAATAATCTAGCAAGACTATTTCCAGAATTATGCCCCTTTTGAACTTAGACTTTTTTTGAGAAATTGGTAATTTTTACTCCAACTTCTTCAATCATGATAGGATTTTAAAAATGTTATATTTTGATAACAGGGATGTTTAAAAAATAACTTTAGAGTGTCCTTCAGTCCATCTGTCTGTACATAAAAACTGTTTCCTGCGATCACTTTTAAAGAACTTTTCAACAAATTTACTTAAAATAGGAACCTAAGTGAATGGCCCTTCAGAATGTTGCTTTGGCTCTTACCGGTAGGGGACTTATGGATTGCTTGCAATACTATGATAATTGCTTGTTTATTATTGATATTTGATAATTAAAGACCACCCGCTCGCATAATATGAAAAGATATTCAAAGGTCGGACAAACAATATGTAAAGCTGGTACGGATTCAGATTTATGCGCCGCAATATGCAGTCCTGTTCCAGAGTTCCTTTGACATTCAACTCAAATTTGGCATATGGATATGTCATGAGTAAATACAGGTCAAGTTCGAATTTGGTCATGGTTCGATGATTTTTTTGGCAGAGTTATGCCCCTTTTACTTTGAAAATAATACAAAAAGGATGAAATTTTCAGTTTCCGTTCATTATCTCTCCAACGGTATTACACATTCATCTCAAACTTGACATATGGATATATCATGAGAAAATACAGGTCAAGTTCGAATTTTGTCATGGTTCGATGATTTTTGGCAGAGTAATGCCCCTTTCACTTTGAAAAAAAAATATGAAATTTTCAGTTTCTGTTCTTTATCTCCCCAATTGTATAATACATTCAACTCAAATTTGACATATGGATAAGTTAAAGGAATGCGCAGGCTAAGTTCGAATTTGGTCATGGTTCAATGTTTTTTTGCAGAGTAATGCCACTTTCAGAATTCCCAAAACTTGAAGTCCCATTAACAGCCCAAAACGTGTTTTTGTGCCCCCACTATAGGGGGGGGGGCATTTAGATTTGCCCTTGTCTGTCCTTCCATCCGTTCTCTTTTTGTGTTGCAAGTAGCTCAAAAAGTAATTGACCTAGAGTCATGAAACCTTACAGGAATGTTGATCAGCATGTGAAGTTGTGCACCTGGTTATTTTCATGTGGATATATTTAGTATGTTTAGAGTTATTGTCCTTAACTTAGTAAAAAATTTGCAATTTTCAACTTGTGTCGCAGGTAACTCAAAAAATATTTGACCTAGATTCATTAAACCTTATAGGAATGTTGATCAGCATGTGAAGTTGTGCACCTGATTATTTCCATGTGGATATATTTAGTATTTTTTTAGTTATTGCCTTTGATTTAGTAAAATTTTCCAATTTTCAACTTGTGTCGCACGTAACTCAAAAAACATTTGACCCAGAGTCATTAAACCTTACAGGAATGTTGATCAGCATTTTTTGTTGTGCACCTGGGTATTTTTGTGTGGATATATTTAGTATTTTTAGAGTCGTTGCCTTTGAATTAGTAAAAATTTCCAATTTTCAACTCGTGTCGCATGTAACTAAAAAAGTATTTGACCTAGAGTCATGAAACCTTACAAGAATGTCGCTCAGCATGTGTAGTTGTGCACCTGCGTTATTTCATGTGGATATTTTTAGTATTTTTACAGTCTATGCGAAAGTCAATTTTTTTTTCAGGCCACAAGGACCGAGACCCTTAGGTTTATTTCCGGCCCTGATGATATTTTTCCGGCCCAGACATTTCAAGCATTATTTTATATTAACACGGTTGAATGCAAAAATGATTGTCTTTCTTTAAATTAGTGAGACCATCAATATAGAAACATAAGAAGATGCTGACCAATTGAAATAACTTAAGCAGGGTGCTCACTAGGATTTTCAAAGGAGGAGTCCTTGGACTCCCAAGCACAGAAAAGTAGGAGCACAGAGCACTTTGAATATGTTAAGCCATCTTTACTGCACTTATGCAGTTGACAAATATGATGTATATTAGTGGAGTAAGCTAGGTTTTGAAGAGTTGGAGTTTGAACAGAGAAAAAGCTTATTCAGGAAAATGGTAGTATGTCCCAAATGGAATACACTGTACCATAAAAGTGATTGAAAAGATTTGAAATATAATTTCAAAAACCCTACATCATTAGACCATTATGCTGTTTTCTTCCAGATTCACTCCACACACCCCCCTCCCATAAAAAAATATTCATTGTATGTGACAAACACATACTGGTTAAATACCTCCATCTCAACTAATGTGAACAATATCTTTAGTAATTTTAATTCTTAAACTACATTTAAGTGTTATTACACACATTTTAACAAAACAAAGTTTCCTTTTGGTTACGATTTTTTTAATTATAAAAAGCGGCATCGCGAAAATATGTGACAATTGAAAATTTGTCTGTTTCCTGCAGAAACATTCACAATTCTACTTGTTGTTGATTTTGATTATATTAGATTAAATATTTTTTGATTATTTTAAGATTGTTACTAATCGGCTATTTCAACAAGCATCATAAAACAAAATTTTCAAATCTGTAATTTACGGCAAAATTTACCGTTGTTGATGAAACTTTTTGAAGACAGAGTTGACTGTTATTTATTTGACATGTACAAAATAGATCTAAGGTTGGTCAATATCTTCTATAATAAATTCTTTGCATCACCGGGAACTTGTTATCAATCGGGTCATTGATATTTTTAACTTTTTGAAATTTTATTCGGACACGAGGACTGACGGAAAGGAATTTTTCTCGGACCGCACGAGTTTTATTCAGCCAGGACCGAGGACCGACGGACTTTCGCACAGACTGTTTTTAGAGTTATTGCCCTTGACTTAGTAAAAATTAACCATTTTCAATTTGTGTCGCACGTAACTTAAAAATATTTGACCTAAGGTCATGAAACCTTACAGGAATGTTGCTCAGCTTGTGTAGTTGTGCACCTTGATATTTTCGTGTGGATATTTTTATTACTTTTAGAGTTATTGCACTTGACTGAGTAAAAATTTACAATATTTAACTTGTGTTTCATGTAACTCAAAAAGTTTATGACCTGTAGGCCTGAAAGTTTACAAGAATGTTGGTCAGCATGTGTACTTATGCACCTTGCAGTTTTTGTGTGGCTTTATTCAGTATTTGTAGTATTTGCCCTTTACTTAATAAAAGATTTTTAGTTTTCCCGTTGGGCACATGTAGCCAAAAAAAAAAATTTGACTTAGAGACATAAGATTGACAAATCGGTGGAGTGTGGGGGCACCCGTGTCCTATGGACACATTTCTATTTTATTCAAGGGCCATAACTCGTATATTAACCAGAAAACCCTTTTAATATACTCAAGTACTTGAGGTACTAATCAATCCTGTAAAGTCTCATTAATTTGCATTAGAAGTGTAAGAGAAGACAAAACTTAATAAATAAAAATCATGATTATTAAAGTTTATTATTAACTTACATTTTAATTTCAGTTTAAAAATGTACAGACAGATGGCAGTCCTAAACTTGAAGAGGTGTTTGCTCAATGGAAGAGGTATGTTGAAACTTGATGATTCAATTGAAAATATTATTTGTACTTTTTAGTACAGTGAAACCCTTCAAAATCTGACAGCTTGTGGTCCAAGTTTTGGTCCTGTTACTTGGGACAGGTATCCAGGATAAGAGTGCTCAATCTGGATACAATATTTTACACTATTATGTATTTAAATCTTTTTAACCAGTAATGACTAATGTGCATCCAAATTAATATTTTGAAATGAGTCCTTCTATATTTATCAAGTCCAATAAATTGTTGAGTAAGTTGCATTAAATTAAGATATGAGGAACTAACAGATGCAGTTTATGAAAGGTTGGTACAGTCTACTAGGTACCTACTTAAAACATAAAAAAGGGCATTTTACCTCATCTTCAACCTGCATAGATCATAGCCATAGTCTAGTCTGCTCCTCAAGTGAGGTGAAATTTCTATGTGACAATTGATCAGGTACGATAAGTCAAATGGTCATTTGAGCCGTGTCATGACAAAACCAACATAATGGGTTTGCGACCAGCATGGATCCTGATCAGACTGCTGAAATTTCTATGTGACAATTGATCAGGTACGATAAGTCAAATGGTCATTTGAGCCGTGTCATGACAAAACCAACATAATGGGTTTGCGACCAGCATGGATCCTGATCAGACTGCGCGGATGCGAAGGCTGATCTGGATCCATGCTGGTCGCTATCAGTTTCTCTACTTGTAATAGAGTTGGAAAGCGAACAGCATGGATCCTGATCAGACTGCGCGGATGCGCAGGCTGATCTGGATCCATGCTGGTCGCAAACCCATTATGTTGGTTTTGTCATGACACGGCTCATTTGTCTCTCACCAATGATCTAGAAATCATATTAGATAAGTTGTTTCGGAGATGATCTGCTGAGGACGACATTAAAATGGCAGGAAAAACCAGCAATACAGGGCAATAGGTGCATCTAAAGTCTGCGCCAAACTTTAACAGGTTTGCGCCAAACTTTAACAGGTTTTATACTGATGCCACAAATTCTTCTTTACGATAACATGGCGTCAAGTGTGTCAATACAAGAAATGATAAAAAAATTTATTTTAAAGTTACACATAATTGACAAAAATAATTTATCAACTCTTCCTATCTCTAAATTTGCAGTTGATAATCATAAGCAGGAAAATGCCAGATGAATATCATGAAATAAAATGTGCAGTAAATGTTTTTATAAAAAAGATTGTATTTAAAACCTTCACAGCATTTAAATTTTCTTTGAGTGTAGTGTATTCGTAAATAGAAACAAAATAAAGTTTGTCACTGTTGTTGTAGTATGAACTTGCAGTACAGTTAATATTTAATAATGCTTAACACTATTTACCACACACTGATCATGTGACAGCACTGTATACTTTAAACCAAAATACAATCATTTAGATCAAAGTATTTACCCATGACCCAAATTTTACAAAATGGCCATCATTTTCAGACAAGTGGGCCCAGGGCAAAGTTCTTTCAAATTCTCCTAGTTTTATTACTTTTAGAGAAATTGGTAATTACTGTTAAGTTATCAAGGAAAGATGGTTATGTGGATTCACTGCCATGATACTACCAAATCATAGGTGAAATTGACATATTAAATTAGACAAAATCTTAGAAAAACAAACAAAATCACCCTATCTCACAAAATTTGCACTCAAAAAAACCTCTTTTTATCCCAATTTAAAAGAAATATACTTTATAATTTTTTGCTGTATTCATCATTGTTATTATATCCTTGTTTCAGTGAGGGTGTGAAAAGAAAGTTGGGTACTGAAGGCAGTCCAGCAGCAGCTAAGAAAGCAAAGAAAGAGGAATCTAGTAGTAGCAGTAGCAGCTCTGAAAGGTATAATTGCCTTGTTGCAAGACCTCATTTGATTTGCAGCTCCATTTTTGTGGAGGGTGGAATGTAGACCTTTCACGATTTCAATGACTGCATTGGCTAACCATTTCATAAGAAGTCATCGGAAGCTATTCACTTCAGACTTGGTGTACTTGTTCACTATAATATTGTGACACTATATCAAAAGGGTAGATAATCAAAATAATATTTTGTGCAAGTTATGCACACTTTTTTGTCATCACCTATCAAAGTTGCACTTAAAGAGGAGCCATAGTGGTTAACATGTCTGCCTCTCAACCCAGGGATCATGGGTTCGAGCCCTAATCTGGTCACGAGACTCACACCATGTTTCTTCATATGACACCAGTACTGGTTGGTTCCAGAAGTGGACTCAAAAGTGATTTATATAAATTGCAAGAACTTGTTTCGCAATCAAGCTGAAATAAATATGATTAATCCAAGGTTGCACTAAGAGATTTGCTGGGGGGGGGGGGGGTTATTTTGCCTGCACCAAAACTTCTACATACATCGAGGGATTTTTATTTAACTGCACAAAATTTAATGCTCACCAGCTGCGTTACATAAAAGTCATCTGACAATGTCCTCAAGGCGAGCTTTTGTGATGGCCCATTGTCCGTCATCCATGCATCTGTCTGTGCATCAACAATTTCTTTAAACAACTTCTTCTAAACCACTTGGTCAAAGTTGTTCAAAGAATTAAATTCCATAAAGAACTCTGGTTGCCATGGCAACTGAAAGACTTTTTTTTTTTCAAAAAATCTTAAAAAATCTTCTTGTAAAAAAAAAAAAAGGAAACGGTCAGAGCTTAGATATTTGACATGAAACATCTTCTAGTGGATGCCTACCAAGTTTGTTCAAATAAATGCCCTAGAGTCAAAATTTGTCCCGTCCCAGGGGGTCATTCATTGATTTTCCTTATATGTGTATAGTAGAAACTTGAAAAATCTTCTTTTGAAAATCTAAAAGAGTAAAAACTTTCATATTTGGCACGAAACGTGTTCTAGTGTATATCTACCATGTTTGTTGAAATTAAAGCCATAGGGTCAAAATTGGCCAGTCCCGGGGGGGGGGGGTCATTGATTTTTCTTTTATGTACTGTAAATCCGGTGTTTTTTTGTGATGTTTTAATTTTCGCTATTTTTTCTGGGGTGAAAAGAGGCTCGACTTTGACCGTTTAACCTATTTTCAGGTGAGCGATCCAGGGCCCTCTTGTTTTGAAAGCATTATCATTAACTCTAATTAAAAGCAAAGTCCTATCTTAATATTATATACTTTATATGCTTTTTGTTCTTTCAGTGAAGATGAAAAGCCTAAAGCACCGGTATCAAAAGCTGCTACAGTGAAACAAGCAGGCCAGAAGGGAACTGAGGCTGTCAAACGATTGCACGAATCAAGCTCTAGTGATTCGTCTTCATCTGATAGTGATAATGCAAAACCTCCACCTAAAAAACAAGCAACAGTATCCAAGCCAACAGCTCAAAAGAAGGCAGATTCCAGCTCCGATAGCAGTAGTGAATCTAGTGAAGATGAAAAGCCTAAGAAACAAGCCCCAGCGAAAACAGTAGTTCCAAAGCAAGTCCCCAAAAAGAAAGAAGAAAGTTCTAGCTCTGATTCTTCAGATGACGAGAAACCCATAGCAAAGAAAACTGTGCCTGCTAACAAGAAAACTGCTACTGCTAACAAAGGCTCTGATTCAAGTGGAACCTCTGACTCTGATGCTGATTCTGAAAGTACAGACGATGAGAAGTCTTCAGGAAAGAAGAAAGTACTTAAAAAGAAAGTAACCCCACAGGCAAAAACATACAATAATGTACCACCTCCAGCACAAAAGGCTACACCAGTCAAATCTGCCGTTAAGAAAGATTCGAGCAGTGGTAGTAGTGATGATAGCTCCAGTGATGATAGTACAAAGAAAAAGGCTGTGCAACCTAAACCAGCAGTTTCAAAGCTAGCAGAAGTAAAAGCAGTTGCAAAGAAAGACAGTAGCAGCAGCAGTAGCGACAGGTCAAGCGAAGATGAAGCCCCTAAAGCTAAACCGACTCAGGCTAAACCACCTCCAGCAAAAGCAGCAGCAAAGAAAGAAAGTAGTAGTAGTGATTCAAGCTCTAGTGAGGATGAAGCACCAAAGAAAGTGCAAGCAAAACCTGCAAGTCCTAAAAAACCACAGGCAGTTGTAACAAAGAAAGATAGCAGCAGCAGTAGTAGTAGTGACTCCAGTTCTGAAGAGGAAACCCCTAAAACAAAAGTTGCTGCTAAATCACCAGTGCCTGTTAAAGCAACAGTGAAAAAGGCTGATAGTAGTAGCAGTGATTCCAGTTCAAGTGAAGATGAAACTCCAGCTGCTAAAAAAGTTGCGTCACCTGCAAAAGTGGCAGTTAAGTCAACACCAGCTAAAAACGCAAAGGCAGACTCAAGTTCTAGTAGTTCTGATTCTTCTAGTGAAGATGAGGCACCAAAGAAATCACCTGCTGTTTCAAAACAAGTAACTCCTAAAGCACCTCCAAAAGCAGCTGCTAAAGATTCCAGCTCAAGTAGTTCTGATTCAAGCTCTGAGGATGAAGCCACTAAAAAGACAGCACAATCTGTAACTCCAAAGGCTGTAGGTGGTAAGCCAGCTGCTGCTAAAGCAAAAACCAAAGATTCAAGTTCAAGTAGTTCAGATTCTAGCTCAGAGGATGAAGCTCCCAATAAAGCTGCTGCAGCAAAATCTGTAACTCCAGCAAAACCAGCAACTCCCAAAGTTGCTGCAAAAACAGCAACACCTAAAGCTGCAGTTAAAGATTCAAGTTCAAGTAGTTCAGAATCTAGTTCAGAAGATGAAGCCCCAAAGAAGGCTACACCAGCCAAACCAGTAACTCCTAAAGTTGCAGCAAAAACAGCAACACCCAAGGCTGCAGCTAAAGATTCAAGTTCTAGTAGCTCAGATTCTAGTTCAGAAGATGAAGCCCCCAAGAAAGCTACACCTGCTAAACCAGTAACTCCTAAAGTTGCAGCAAAAACAGCAACACCCAAGGCTGCAGCTAAAGATTCAAGTTCTAGTAGCTCAGATTCTAGTTCAGAAGATGAAGCCCCCAAGAAAGCTACACCTGCTAAACCAGTAACTCCTAAATTTGCAGCAAAAACAGCAACACCCAAGGCTGCAGCTAAAGATTCAAGTTCTAGTAGCTCAGATTCTAGTTCAGAAGATGAAGCCCCCAAGAAAGCTACACCAGCTAAACCAGTAACTCCTAAAGTTGCAGCAAAAACAGCAACACCCAAGGCTGCAGCTAAAGATTCAAGTTCTAGTAGCTCAGATTCTAGTTCAGAAGATGAAGCCCCCAAGAAAGCTACACCAGCTAAACCAGTAACTCCTAAAGTTGCAGCAAAAACAGCAACACCCAAGGCTGCAGCTAAAGATTCAAGTTCTAGTAGCTCAGATTCTAGTTCAGAAGATGAAGCCCCCAAGAAAGCTACACCAGCTAAACCAGTAACTCCTAAAGTTGCAGCAAAAACAGCAACACCCAAGGCTGCAGCTAAAGATTCAAGTTCTAGTAGCTCAGATTCTAGTTCAGAAGATGAAGCCCCCAAGAAAGCTACACCAGCTAAACCAGTAACTCCTAAAGTTGCAGCAAAGACAGCAACACCCAAGGCTGCAGCTAAAGATTCAAGTTCTAGTAGTTCAGAATCTAGTTCAGAAGATGAAGCCCCTAAAAAATCTACACCTGCTAAACCATTAACTCCTAAAGGTGCTGCAAAACCAGTAACACCAAAAGCAGTTGCTAAAGATTCAAGTTCCAGTAGTTCAGACCCTAGTTCAGAAGATGAAGCCCCCAAGAAAGCTGCATCTTCATCATTAAATAAACAACAATCCCCGGTGTCTCAAAATAAAAATGTAAAGACTCCTACTCCAAAATCACAGATAAATAAAAAGGACAATACAAGTAGTAGTGACTCTAGCTCAGAATCAGACAATGAAAATACAAAGACAGTGAATACCTCTAAAGTAAATAAATCCCAAAGTGTTCCAAATAAATCACAAAATAAATCAGACTCTAGTTCAGACAGTGACTCCTCAGACTCTGACAATGAAAAATCCAAATCTGTTTCAAAATCACCTGGTTTAACACCAGTTATTGGTAAAACTAAAGCGGGGAAACAAAATGGTCCAGTAACTTCTACACCATATTCCAAGGTAAACGGGAATGCTGAAGAGGGTTCTGATGATTCAGGAGTTAGCTCAGGCTCACATGAAGTTAACTCTAATAACAAGAATAATACCAGTCAGAATAACAGTAAAACACAGAGAGTAAGTATTGTCCTAATATATTCATTTGCAGCGTTTGTATAGATATTTGATAATATTGTCAGCAGAAAAGTTTAAAAAGTAATTTTATGCATTTTCTAGGCCTATTGCCACTTGTATTTTTCATCTGGTTTAAAATACCCAAATAATGATATCTTTATCTAGCTTTAACTACTGCTATTGCCATTGCCTACTTTATCTTCATGATATTAAATTTTTATAATAAAGCATTGAAAACACAAGATAATATGGGGATGCCGTGGCTGAGTAGTAATATGGTTGCTCACTTGCCCACTGTTGGCTTGAATCCCAGCAAATACCTAAAATTCTTTTATACAGGCTGTCCAGCGTCCCTAAAATTCCTAAAAAATCCTATTTTTTTTCAGTTTGGCTAAAATTCCTAAAAAAGTGAAAAATTCAAAGGGAATTCCTAAAAATGCCCTATTTTTTCAATGAAATTCCTAATTTTTTTATCTTTTGTTATAAACATACTTATAACTTGTAACCCTGCGACATAACAAAGTTGACCATGTTTTGAACATGGTTAAAAATGATTTGCCATGATTTGCCAACTCAGAAGTGGTGACATTGAAATGGTTTCGTTTCAACTAAAAGTTACTTTGACTATGTCCGTAACATTGCTATCATATAATCAAAGCAGTTGTTAATAATCATGTTGACAGTTAACAACAAAAACACTACCATATCATGGTGCTAAACTTAAATCATAACCATAAGAGGTCCACTTATTCTGGAATATTTTGACACTGTTTTGCCAACTCCAGATATCTTGAATTTTATGTTTGTTCTTTTTTTCCAAATGGCTGAAGTGGTCCATTTATATCATATCATATTTGAAAATGATCATTATGAAGCTGTTGTAACTTGTAACACAATCTTAATTAAAAACATGTATAAATAGTTGTCAAAAATTAATGTACAATTTGTTTACTCCCAACTCTTTTATTTAAATCTGCATAATTTCAAAACAACATTGTCAAGTACTAAATGTGTTAACTGAGAGTTTGCAAAATTAATTCTTTCCCTCATACTTATTTATCCTTTCCGATGCCTCTGTAGGGGAAATTGCTTATTTTGCAATTTCATTCAATTCTTGTTCTTTTCATACATATGGTGTAATTTAGGAAAATGCAGGCTCATATAATTTAATTAATCACACTCAAAATAATTTGGAAGTTCACTAATATAAAGCTCATTTCCAGTTACCATGTACACACATTTTGTAATTATGTGATCTAGATAAACTGCAACTGAATGGTCTGTGTGATGAATTTTTTTGATGTGCAATTCTGTGTGTTGATTAATGATGCTTCCCATTTGTTCAAATGACTGTACTAAGGCTAATGCCTTTTTACTTCCTACTTGTACAAAAAATTTCATTTGTCCCTATTCAAAGGCTGCATTGTGCATGAATTTCACTGTATAAGAATTCCTTTTAGACACTCGTGGTTATAACATTCCCAAAACATAGGTAGAGCATGTTCTTTTTGACATGTTCAGCCATTGAAAAAACATATTTCATATATGGTTTGAACATGGTTTGACTATGACCATTTCCACAGGGGAGGCAGTTGACCAGTGAGTCCACACTGGTAGACACCTTTGCTCTAACTAAACTAAAGCATTATTTGTGAGTTACTTTTGTGTCAAATATGAAAAGGTTTGCCCACATCATGGTTCTTTTGGGCCTTAGTTTAGTTATAAAATTCCAAATTGTAGCCCTAACATTTCTATTATGTACCCTAAAATTCCTAATTTTATCCCTAAAATTTCTAAAATATTGCCCTAAAATTTGCCCTAATTTTATGTCGGAAGGTGCTGGACAGCCTGTTTTATATGATTCCAGTTAGCTTATGGAAGTTTGGTGGTTCTACCGAAGTGCCTGTTAATGCCTGAAATCATGCACAAAGGGGCTTCTGAAGTTTTTCTCCCCCAATAAGCTGGAAATTGCCATATAAACTGTACAGTGTCATTGTGACTTAAATTCCAACAAAACCAGATTATCTGATTTGTATGGGGAGGTTTGTATAGAAGTCCGATAACTGGGTGTTATGATGATCTTTCAGTTTTATGTCAAATGCAAGGCTTTCTCTGTCATAATTGGTAAATCCAAGGGGAAAATATGTTGCCAGGCTGTGAGCATGTAAACATTGATACACTGTTCATATCTCGGGTCATGTAATTGGATCAGGCCATCCTTAAAAAAATGTTTGTTTGCAGTAACCTGACCCAGAATTTTCAAGGTGGGTAGGTAGGTCGATTTTTTTTTTATTATTATTGAACTGTACTCCCAAATAAACATGGAATTTCAAAATGCTGGACAATATATGCTTTGATAATCTGGTAACAATTAATAAATTGATAACTGAATTCTAATTTAATAAGCCCTACATTTTATTTCTTCTATTAACCTTTAAAAGAATGAAAACAAAGCACAAGGCCATCCTTAAAAAAATGTTTGTTTGCAGTAACCCGACCCAGAATTTTTAAGGTGGGTAGATAGGTCGATTTTTTTTTTTTTTTTTATTGAACTGTACTCCCAAATAAACATGGAATTTCAAAATGCTGGACAATATATGCTTTGATAATCTGATAATAATTAATAAATTGATAACTGAATTCTAATTTGATAAGACCTACAATTTATTTCTTCTATTAACCTTTAAAAGAACAAAAACAAAGCACAAGGCATAATTTTCTGATTCAAAAAAAATAATTTTTTATCCAGACCATGAAAAAAAACATTGAGTAGGGGCAAATTTTGTGAGTCGGTCGCGTTACTGCAAACACATTATTTTAAGGATGGCCCAAGGCATAATTTTCTGATTTAAAAAAAAATAAATTTTTTATCCAGACCATGAAAAAAAAATTTTGAGTAGGGGCAAATTTTGTGAGTCGGTCGCGTTACTGCAAACAAACATTTTTTTAAGGATGGTCTCAGTTACTGTGAGACATACATTCAGGCCTCGACATATCTACTTGCCCGCTTGCATTTGCGAGGAAAAGTTCGTCGGGGGAGTAAAAAATTGATCAAGCTGGCCGAGTAAGATTATCCAGATCCAAATGATGTTTCTTTAAACATTTAATATAAATGAAGTTATTCTGTAAAAAAATGGAATAGCAGGTGCCATTTTAATCGTAATACTGTCAAACGAAATCTGACCTTATGACTAAGTATAAAACTTTACCGGATGCGTATGCTGAATCGATTCCATAAGGACAGCAGCATTCAACAACTTTTTATACATACGCATTCAGAGTTATGTTTTATACTTAGCCTAGAGGTCGATATTTAAGCTGAGTGGGTTAAAATTTGAATGGAACAAGTATATTCCTATATAGACTGATAATTGGCAAATTTGAGTTTTGTGTTTGATTTTTAATCAAAATGCAGGGATAGTGCATTTTATGAAGAGCAAGTAAATTTTGACGGTCACTGGCTCTAAAAAAATCGGGGCCTGACATTGATTGTAATTAAGAAATGAATTCTAAGATGAACATTGAAAAAGTTTTTATGGTCCTAAATTCCTCTGGACATTGAGAAAGAACTTATACAAGTAAAAAATTATTTGTAAAAAATTTCCAATGAGTAAGTGCAGCATTGTTTGAGTGCTTTGGTGTTAGGTATTAATAAAAACATTATTCTGAAATATGACATGATCTATTGATGGTTATTCTAGAGAAGGAGCAGTCCATTCAGACGTGTAAGGGAGGAGCAAGTTGAAGTAGATGATAGATTGAAGGATAATTCATTTACTGCGAAGGTGAGTTTAGCATGCATGCTGTACTGACTTGATTTACCATCATATTCAGTTAAAGATGGGGGGGGGGGGGTTACAAATTCAAATTTCTATGATGGAATTCGCCATCATTTAAGTATATTGCAAATTTAAACTTGTGTGACATTGAAAAGGTGATAGTTTTGATTTATGCTTAATTTAAAGGCAATTTTGACAATATTGACATAATATGTTTTGCCAATGATGTATTTTGAAATAAAGTTGTTCAGAACCTAAAATTCTTGAGGATAACAAAATATCTGAGGCAAAGTTTTATACTTATTAAACGTCACATTTGACATGGTATTTATTCTTTTGTCTGAAAGTGTCTTTCAATAAATTGTGCACCATTTCATTTAATGATTTTTAGCTCAACTAATTAAAGAATAAGGCGAACTGTTGTACTAATGGGGGAGTTAATTTTATGTGCAAATCTTCAAAACTACTGAAACAAAATTGCCATATATGTATTTAATCTCAAAACACAGTGTTGGATGTTAATCGTACTGGATATATTTACTATAAGCTGGTTAAGTGATCGCCCTTTCCTTTTGTTACCCCATTTGTTATAAACGTATACAGCTTGAAATTTTGTCATTAAATTGTCACCAATACATGAGTCTGAAGTCCCGAAGTTTTTATGCAATTCCCTTTGACTTTGCAAAATTCTACTGTCCTTTGATTGTAACGATTGCCCTTGCAGAACTTTCTATATTATCCAGGCTCTTGTTTTACTATTTTGCAGAAAAAGTCAAGCAGACAATACTATTGATGGCTTTTGTTCATTTTGCCAATGATGTTTTACATTAAAAGTTGTTCAGAACCTAGATTTCTTGAGGAAAATCTTAATATCTGAGGCAAATTATCATTGTTGTATACATGATATATCTGTAATGAACAGTATTTGAGCTTTATTGTTGGGCCACTTGAAGATCACCATAGTGTTTCTATAACTTGGTAATGACTTTGTTTTCATGAAAGAGTAGCAAAGTCTAGCAATTTAATAAATTACACAAACATAATGTTTTGCATATGTGATAATAATATAATTGATACTGTGAGAATGGGGGCGTCCATGTCTGAGAGGTTATGGTAGTTGACTTCAAACTACTTGCCCCTCACTGCTGTGGGTTTGAATCTTGCCTTGAACTTCTGACTCTTTTCATTGGAGGAAGATAACCAGCTAGCTTACAGAACGGTGGTTAGTTTTACCCGTGTGCCTGATATAATGCAAAGAGAGACATCATAAGGGCTTCCTCTAACAGAAAAGCTGGAGAGTAGCAGTATGACCTTTAACTAAATTGTTTTGAATAGATATCTGAAAATCAATGCGATAACTTGAGAGTAAAATTCACACGTCTAGAAAATAAAGTTGTATATAAATAGCTGAGATAGTCCTTGAAACAACATGTTAATATACTTAACAATAACTCTAAAACCTTTGTTTAAAAACAATATTGTGTTTTCAGAGAGGAGCACATGGATCATGGGGTGAGAAAGCCAACAAAGACCTCATTGTGACGAGGGGTAAATCGTTCCGACACGAGAAAACGAAGAAAAAACGAGGCAGTTACAGAGGTGGAGCTATAGACACCAGCAATGTACATTCTATTAAATTTGATGATTAAGCCATTTTTGTTCACTTGATGTTAAAAGAACATTGATCAATTTAAAGAATGATTTATCACATGAAAAAAGTATTAACATGATCATTTTATTTCAACTTTTTGTCAAGAATAATTATTTTGAATGGCTAGATAAATATTGAAAGTGTTGTTCTGTTACAAAGTAAATGCACAATCTATGGTATAACTGTGTAAAAGATTTATTGAAACATTTATGTGAAAGTGCTTGTTTAATATATGGTTAGGTATGGCATATATATGTATGAATGGTTGTATAAAAGCAGTGGTTATTTGTCATCATTTGGAACTTTGTGCTCTGGTGCTACTTTCTGTATTGCTTGAGTTTTGATCGATATTTTATAATGTTCAAACAATTTATTTTTTTCCAATTCATGTCAAGTATTTTGATAATAATGCAGGAAAGTTGCCTGGAAACCATTTATAACAGTCATGTGGATAACATTAATGTTTGATATTATTACTGTTGTCACAGAACTTGACAGATAGTTTTTCGATGCACAATAGCCACATTGTTCTTAACATTTAATGATTTATTCACCATGTGTTCTTTATTATCTATGTTTGATAATATTCATTTGAGGCATTTATGTACTTTATTTGTTGAACTGTATGGAATTTTGAATTCATTTAGATATGATATAGTTTATGATCATGTAAAATATTTGATATACAAGATATGATGTTTTGATGAGATTGTGGATAATTATATTATATTATTTAACAATTATGACAGAACCTCGTCTGTTATTGATATACATGTATATAACAGGATATTCATTGGGACATTCTTTAAAAGTACTGTACAAATTGAATTTATCCCATTCTTTAAAACATTGAACTGAGAGCAAAGTAAATGTTGCTTTCCCTGAATTAAACTAATTTTTATATAATTTGTGTGTGATTATTGTAAAAATGAATTAATTATTTTTATTGACTTAATTCATGAATGAACAACACATTCACATGTTTGTTTTCTATTTACTTTTATCTTTGCATAGTAGATATTTTTTGTTGCCGGGGAGGGCTTTAATATCAGGCTCATATTATTATTTGAGAAATTTTGCATATAAATTATTGTTGTAATGATTTGGTTAATAGTATTACTCTCCATGTGTTATCATAGTGAAGATTTTTCTATACAGATAAATAGTCCAGTTTTAAGGATGTCTTTAATGAGGAGTATTATGTAGGTAAGGACATTTTGTTAAAATGTTTGTTTCATAAAGGTAAAATAAAATTTGTACGAAAATAGCTAGGTTTATGGATGGAGATGTGTATTTGACGATAAGTATTATGTTCTTGGTAATTCCACGTGTTGCAGTAATGACTGTTTATCACTGTGGGTAAACAAATCTACTTTATATGCTGGCAAAAATGATAATTTAAATTGTTTAATCATGTAATTTACGAGACAGTCACAGGAAGTAAAGGTTCTTCAAATTGTAATAACCCATACACATTGTATTGTATTGACTCTCAATAAAGGTACACTTTGTTTATGATAATACCTTATTAGTCCCCTACCGGTTTAACCGGAGGGGACTTTAGGTTTACCCTCCGTCCGTCTGTCTGTCTGTCTGTCAGTCCGTCCGTCCGTCCACAAAACTGGATCCCGCGATAACGCAAAAAGTACTGAAAATATTTTTATGAAACTTGATATATGGATAGATGGCAGTATGGAGATTATGCACGTCTTTTTTTTTTCTTCCTATGTGGAAAATTCTGGTTGCTATGGCAACAAATAGTCTGAAAATATGGCAAATTTAACACATAAACTGGATCCAGTGATAACTCAAAAAGTACTGAAAATATTTTTATGAAACTTGAAATATGGGTAGATGGCAGTCTGGAGATTATGCACATCTTTTTCTTTTCTTCCTATGTTGAAAATTCTGGTTGCTATGGCAACAAATAGCCTGAATTTCAAGATTTCTGATTTAAATTTTTCAGCTTTTTTACTGTATGTTCTTTATTTCTTAAGGTGTTTACTTCAAACTTTAAATATAAGTTTCTGGTCATCAACCACATCATATGTGACAAGGTTTATAACTCTAGCACAAAAAATATCAGTATTACCTCCCTTGAACTTAGATTTTTTAGGGGAAAAATGTTGTCTTTTTTAAATAACTTCTCTATTTCCTAATGTATCTACTTCAAACTTCATATATATGTTTCTTATTATCCCTCGACATTTTTGAGAAGGTTAAATACTCTAGCAAGACTATTTCCAGAATTATGTCCCCCTTGAACTTAGATTTTTTCGAGAAACTGGTATTTTCACTCCAACTTCTTCATTCCTTATAGGATTTACTTTAAAATCCCACATCGTAATAATATGACAAGGTTGTATAAACATAATTTCCTTACTAAGCATGGAAACTTAACACATTACTGTGATATAGACAAACTTATTTTATTATGTTTTGTGGTTGATATTTTCAAATACAGACTTCATCCTCAAATTCATTATAAATGGCAATACACAGGAGTGTATGACAATTAAAGAACTTTTTGAGGGACCGGTAGGGGACTACTGTATTGCCCGCAATACTATCAAATGCTTGTTCATAACTGTTTTGTCATAGAACTTAAGTCCATCTTTTATTTCAAGCTCAGATATATCAAAATTATATGTTACTTAAGAATGCAATCTGTCATTATCAATCACAAATTTCAGACATGTCAGGTTGGAAATTAGTTATTTATTTTGAAATTTTCCATAGTATTGGTAATTGGCATGTTAAAAGAGTCTCTGTAATGCTTTCTGATCATGATTGTTTGCAGATTAAAAGATTCAAAATAAATCTATGACATTGTTATCTCTTGAAGATACTCAACCAGCCAGGTGCAAGCTTGGGGGAGGGGCGATGGATACTTCCTCATTGAAAATATTTGTATTTTGGAAACCATTTCATTGTTAACTTAATATAGTGCAACTGGTTGCTATAGATGCATAGGGTAATGAACCATTGATACTTGCGTGCACTAACCAAACTTGTATATAGTAGTTATGACTATTACAAGTGATGACTTGAAGTTTCAGTTTACCTGAACTGGCTCGGGGTGAGCTTTAAGGATTGATGAATGTCTCTTTTCCATCAACATTTAATTTGTTAACTCTCAAGTGGTCACATTTTTGCCTCAACTGTCATCAAACTTGTTTGCCCAAGTAATTGCTGGACTAGTTCAGATGAAAAACTAGGTCACGGGAGCCATGAAAAACTAGGTCATAGGAGCCAAAAAAAATTTAGAAAAATCTGGTTGACACTAGTTACTACAGTTTGTTTGAATATCCGGAAAATTGATCAAAAGGTTTTGATGAATTCTAGCTCCACTTTAAATATGGGTCACCAGGGGTCAAAAACTAGGTCACATAACCCAAATAATGGAAAACCTTGTTAACACCCTCGGGGCTACTTACTGTTTTGATTGCAATGTCCTGGACATTGATCGGAAAGGTTGTTTAGTTGGTTTCTAGCTCAAGTTCGAATATGGGTGGCAGCCCGTATGTGGAGATAAAAAACATTGTTGACACACAAAGGTAACATTTTCACCCCAAATGTGTTTTAAAAAATCAGAAACTTTGATTTGATGATTTCTAGCTCAAGTTTGAATATGGGTCATCTCGGCCCTGGGAGAACACTATAGATGTCGTATTTCAATCAAAATATCGACCGCCTCCATGGTCGAGGGGTTAGAGTCGATGACTTCTAATCCAGTGACCTCTCTGGCATGGGTTTGATCCCCGGGAGATGCTTTGGTAGTTAAGCACGGAGGCAGGTAGTCTAGTTCAGGTGAAACTCTCCAGGAACAATTGTAAGGAAACTACCTGCCTATATGACTGAAATACTGTTTGGGGAAAAGGCGTAAAATGAAACAAACAAACCTTGAAATTTGTTACAAAAGATGTTTAAATTATTTCTAGCCTAAGGTCGAATATGGCTCATCTGAGATAAAAAACTAGGTGACGGCACATAAAAAGGCATATATTGAAAAGCCTTGTTATGCCCCCCTTCAAAGAAGTGGGGATATATTGCTTTGCATTTTCTGTCCGTCAGTCTGTAAACCAAATGGTTTCCGAGTGATAACTAAAATACGCTTAGGCCTAGGAACTTCAAACTTGGTATGATGATTGCTCATGCCCAGAAGATGACCCCTATTGATTTTGGGGTCAAGGGGCCAAAGGTCAAGGTAACATTGACCTTGTAGGTAAAAAACGGTTTCCGAGTGATAACTAAAGAACGCTTAGGCCTAGGAACTTCAATCTTGGTATGATGATTGTTCATGACCAGTAGATGACCCATATTGATTTTGGGGTCTAAGATCAAGGTCACATTGACCTTGTAGGTAAAAACGGTTTCCTAGTGATAACTAAAGAACCCTTAGGCCTAGGACATTCAAACTTGGTATGATGATTGTTCATGACCAGTAGATGACCCTATTGATTTTGGGGTCAAAGGTCAAGGTCACATTGACCTAATAGGTAAAAACGGTTTCCGAGTGAAAACTAAAGAACGCTTAGGCCTAGGACATTCAAACTTGGTATGATGATTGTTCATGACCAGTAGATGACCCTTCAAAGGTTAAGGTCACATTGACCTTATAGGAAAAAAACGGTTTCCGAGTGATAACTAAAGAACCCTTAGGCCTAGGAACTTCAAACTTTGTATGATGATTGTTCATGACCAGCAGATGACCCCTATTGATTTTGGGGTCAAAGGTCAAGGTTATATTGACCTCTTGGGTAAAAACGGTTTCCGAGTGATAACTAAAGAACCCTTAGGCCTAGGAACTTCAAGTTTGGTATGGTGATTGTTCATGACCCGCAGATGACCGCTATTGAATTTGGGGTCAAAGGTCAAGGTCACATTAACCTTGTGGGTAAAAACTGTTTCCGAGTGATAACCAAAGAACCCTTAGGCCTAGGAACTTCAAACTTGTAATGATGATTGTTCATGACCAGCAGATGACCCCTTTTGATTTTGGGGTCAAGGGGTCAAGGTCACATTTACCTTGTAGGTAAAAACGGTTTCCGAGTGATAAGTTAAGAACCCTTAGGCCTAAGCACTTCAAACTTGGTATGATAATTGATCATGACCAGCAAATGACCCCTATTGATTTTGGGGTCAAGGGGTCAAAGGTCAAGATCACATTTACCTTGTAGGTAATTACAGTTTTAGATCAATTACTAAAGAACGCTTAGGCCTAGGAACTTCAAACTTGGTTTGATGATTGTTCATGATTAGCAGATGACCCCTATTGATTTTGGGGTCAAAGGTCAAGGTGACATTGACCTTGTAGGTAAAACAATTTCCGATCATAACTAAAGAACGCTTAGGCCTAGGAACTTCAAACTTGGTATGATGATTGTTCATGACCAGCTGATGACCCCTATTGATTTTGAGGCCAAGGGGTCAAAGGTCAACGTCACATTGATTTTGTTGGTAAAAACGGTTTCCAATCAATAACTTGACAACCCATGGGTTGTTGGCCCTCAAACTTGGTAGGTGCATTTGACTTGACCATTAGATGACTCCTAATGATTTGTGGGTCAGGGGAACAAAGGTCAAGGTTGCATTGATCTTGTATTTCAAAATGGTTTTCTATCAGTAACTGGACAACCTATGGACCCTTGACCTTCGAGCTTTACAGATTTATTGCTTTTGGTCATAAAATGACCTCAATAGATTTTTTGGCGTTAAGGGATCAGAGATCAAGATCACATTGACCTTATAGGTAACAACGCTTTCTGATCAATATCCCAACTCATGGGCCCTTTACCTTCAAACTTCACAGGTGCATTGTCTTGGCCAGTAGATAACCCCTTTTGGTTAAGGGTCAATGTCATATTGACCTTGTATGTAAAGACTGTCTCTGACCAATAACTCAACAACTCAAGTTACATTGGTTGATATTTTTTATTAAACTAAAAATCCTTTTGGTATACACATTTCAAGGTCTTATGTAATATAACAACTTGGCTGTCATTAATGAGGCGTACATGATTCATAAAATTTATGCATATATTATTTGGTAAGATTTGAAATAACTTTGTCATAAAATTTCTGCACACAACCTTTGCGGTCACAATTACCTAGTGACTATAGTCATGAAATTAAAGCATCATATACATGGCTAAAACTTAATTTTATGTTTTTTCTTCGGACAAGACATGTATCAGTCATCAAGTTTCATATAAATTCACGAGTCTGTGGTGAAATTTTTATCTTTTGATGGCATTTTATTTCAATAACGCCCAAACTACAATATGTGGGATAGAAGCTTTAAGTTAGCAGTTAAGTTTATGACATAATTTATCTGTTTTTCATTTATTGCTAATAATAATTATGTATTCAGAGCCTTAATAATCAGGTGAGCAATAAGGGGCATATGACCCTTCTGTTTGTTGTTGATAGGTGATTTTTCTCTGCATGTCGTCACAATAGGATTAAAATTAGTTCTTTAATATCATTACTCTTATAAAATCTTCCAACAACAGTAATTCTTTAAAATAGACTCTAAATGTTAAGGTATGGCCATCCTAATTTATTGAAATTTAGACGGTAAAGTTTCTTTTTTTAAAATTTATTTCGGCATATAAGCGTTGAGGAAAATGTTGGTATGTGTTTAAGATATGTCATTTCAAAAATAATTTCAGAAAAAGCACTTTCTTGAAGTTCTTATGTTGAGAACATAAAATGAAATGTGCACATATTTATTTGATAATTTTCTACTAAATGTGTGGTACAATGCATTTTTACCTCTTTATTCATAAGGTATAAATATATATCTTATGTAATATTTAAATAAAATTATCAACAGTAAAATTATATTGGTTCCATTATCATATGGTTGATTTCTGAAAAAGTTGTAACATAGAATGTCTCTGTTATTTAATACACATGAAAAATGTATGTTCCGGAACAATTCTTTTTTTGCTATTTTTAGTTAAGCAATTATTTTGTGCATGCGTCATTTGCTTTTAAGGCAATAAATTACAATATTTATTTCATACAAGCATTTAGGATGTATACTTTTTTAAAATTCAAACAATAATTTTTGCATCAGATATTAGCTTTAATTATACGCTTCTGATAATAGAAACCAAATACTTTTATATTTTCTTGGTTATTTATTGAGAAAAAAACAAAAACAAATTAAACAACGTTGACAGGGGCGCCCATATTGGAAACTGATAAAATGAGGGTTAGAACCCGAAAAAATTGATTTCTCTAAAATGAAGCGGTAAAATCGTTTAATATTGCATATTCTTATGTCTTATGCACTACTTTATATATCATGTAATAACAAATTGTATGTTTTAAAATGTTGGCGTTAGGATGGTCATACCTTTAAATCACTTGAATTTTAGCGATTGCACAGATTATTTGTAATTAGATAATGTTGAAGGAATTCTACCATAGGCACCTATTTCGTTTTGTTCTCCGATCTATTTCACATAATTGAAGATTCCACCCACTGCGTGTTCCTGAAAATAGATATTGTCACGCAGACTGTTTTTTCAGTCAAACCGACGATTTCTTGGTGGAGGTGGACCTAGGGTACAGGCACCGACATTCCGTAAGCTACTTGGATAGCTTCCTCGCATGACAATCCTAAGTCCCTTGCGGGACTCGAACCCAGAGGTGAGGGCCAAGTGAAAAAAAATCGTGTTATATGTGCAAGTACTTGAATGTTAAGTTTCACTGAATTGCATAAGAAGTACATGTATATATAAGAGCAGTAGTTTGGACAAAACTTTAAAATCAAAATATAATTTATTGAACTGGAAAATGCTGATGATATGCACGATTGGTTTTTCCTTTTAAGTTTGGATGAAACTGCACCAGTAGTTTTTGAATATTTCGACAGACAGGCAGACCATGGAAAATGGTCAGTATAAGTCCTGGCTACGTTGCAGCATATATCAGCTATTGGGTAGCAGGCAACACAAAACTACGAATCGAAACGACTTTTTCATTCAAGGGCCATTCAGCAATTTCATTTAGCTAAAATCAATGAAACTCGTATAATATACGCAAGTATTTGAGCTACTATGGTTTCATTCAAACTTTAAAATGCCGACGATTTGCACAAGTAGACTTGGTACTTATCATTCCTGTAAAGTTTGGATGAAATTGCACCAGTAGTTTTTGAGGAGTAGTTCGAACAAGTTTTGCGACGGATGGACAGACGGACAGACAGACAACGGCGATATGACCCTTATATGTTGCCGCTACTCTGTAGCAGGCGACACAAAAAATGATATTTTCAATTCAAAATTAGAGCATATATGTATATTAACCCAGGTACAGTTATAAATTGACCCGGTTTCAACATACTATAACATTCCTTATTTACGCTTGACCACCCACACTTCCAAGAATCGGGAATCAATGCGTGTATATGCAACACGGAAATCTACATTTTGCTGCACTCCTGTATTGTAACAAACATGAATCTAAATAAAGTAAAAATGATGGGCCAACTCTTACTCAATGTATTTTAGCCAAGGTACAAAACATCGAAGAACAATAACGATTTTTTTAACTGATAATCTTGCTGAAATTTATTCCAATATTGACTAAAGGCATAATATACGCGGGCTTAATAATAAGCTGATCTAGTTCTTTTTAAATTTGACGCCTCGTTCTCATATGACTTTTGGCCAAAATCTAATATCTTGTTTGAGTGGATTTTACGTCACACCGACACAGTCCAGGTCGTATGGCGACGTTCCAGCTTTACTGGTGAAGGAAGACCTCCTATGCCCTTCCGGCTATGCATTACCTACAGGCTATGTCGAATATAATAGACTCACTTTGATAAACATTACCTCGTACAGTATCCATAACAGTGATTGCTTATTTGAGCAGTTGTCAATTTTAGCACGTGAATTTCGCGCTTGAATCATATAACAATAAAAACCATGTATTTCACAGAGTTGTAAACACTTCAGTTATAGCAAGTAGGACACATTCATCAGGTAAGGTCTTTGTTGCTGCTAATTTTTGTAGGTTTTAAAATTGATTAAAAATGTATGTAAGCAGGTTATTCGTTCGTTTTGTAATTTGATTCATCAAGTTGCAATATACATTTTGTAGCTTTTTTAAACGATGAAAGCAACGCTATTACAAATCCGGAGGGAACCATCGCTTAAGAAGTTGACAAAGTATTGTAGTTGAGCTGATGATACCAACCATGTTTTCCCATTTTTTTCTCAAAGATCAATCGAGAAAAAGGTCTCTGGAGTACTTACATATAAGTACATTGTACATCTATCTGTATACGCTAAAGACGTAGACCGGAACATCATTTTTTCATGGATGCTAAACTGAGCTTATTTGAAATTTAAAACCTATCAAGAATTAGTTAAGCTATCGCTTATATTGGATAAGATTATCACTATAACTGTTAATATTAAAGTTGAAAGACTAATACTAAAATTTGTACATCCAAGTTAAGAATATGATTGAAACAATTACGAAGATTTACATTTATTGAACACTGTTGAATAAACGTTCCATCTACGTTGTTTCAAAGTGACTATATCATTTATATACTAAAACTACATGTATATGGTAACCTATTTAATACTCTAAGGCAATTATCAGATAATATGCCAAAATATCCCCCCCCCCCCCTCAACATGCTACAGATTTCTGAATTGTTTATATCTTTACAGTAACATCAAGAGATGAGTAAGTCAGCGCTACCACCAGCTGAGGTTTACGCTCCACACCCACCACCAGGCTACCACTCCTACCCTACACAAAGTAATTACCATCCACCTCAAGAACCTCAGCCTATTCATCAACACCATCATCAAACGTCGGCACCAGCACATAATCAAAACATATCATTCGCTCCTGTAACAAACCAGGTAAGCATATTTATTAATCATCTAAAATCTTTGATTTGTTTTCTCATTTACATATTGAAAAGTTAAGAAAAACTGTTTAATTTAGATACATTTGTTACATTGTTCACTTTCATAGTCGTCGTAATCACTTTAATTTCCATTTCAGAAATGACTTGTAACAGGTTGTAGAATAATGTAACTTATAAAGAATGTTTTTAAGTAGAAATGGTTCATTACCTTAACAAAACAAGGCGAAAAGGCTAAAATAAAAATCAGTGTGTTTACCCAATGACTTACAATAAGATACATTTTCTAAAACTGTTAAATTTATTTTATTTTATGATTGAGATATCTGGGGATATGGAAAATTAAAATTTTGGAAATAACAGAACAAATACAATTCGAGTTAATAAAATATATTTTATTTAAATTTTGAAAGTTGTCCTCCAAATTGCGTGGTGTAAGACCTTGTACAGCTACAGTTATATCTATAGATCAAAAACACGAATCATATCATCAAAAATAATACTGCCAGTAAAAACAAATATTTTTGTTTTTCTGTGGACTTAAAAATATTTTGAAAGATTTAGATTTTTCTAATAATTGATGGCTAACAGTCACTGTTAATGTTAAACAAAAAAAATCTGATCTTTTTGTAAGTGAATGGCCTTAAAGTGGCATAACTCTAACTAGATTCACTTGAATCTTGATTTTTTTTCTTTAAATTTTGTACATTTTTTGTCAAGTTTCTTGTATTTATGCTCCCCTTGAGGCATGCAGGTTTGAATAAGCTTCTGTTCTGTTTTGTCCTGTTAAAGATACTATATCTCGAACACTAGCTGAGGAAGTGTGCCCAGTACAACCCATCGTGTTTACTTATGTTTTCCTTATTAAATAATTTTTGTTTGATATTTAGCATTTTAGAATCTTTCAATTATGTTAATACCAGATATTTTCCTTGTTTTCTCTTGAAAGCAATGCGGTAAAAGTACGTTATTTTAGCGCGATTTTCAAACCATAATTTAAAAAATGTGGGGAAAGTAACAGACCTATTACAACATTCACTTTTTTCAAAGGGTACTAAACATACATACATGTAGTTATTTTCGTATGAAAGCCAAATATGACTTTAAACTTGAGAGTTCAAGAAAAAAATCATCACAATTTTTTCATGATCAAATTCGGAATTTTGAATAATAATATCTTTATTTCCTCCAAAAGAAGAGCACATTTTTACAATTATACAATTATAATGGAACAAGTAAAATATTCAATTACAATGCAAATAATTACAGAAGATCTATGGTTACAGTATGGAAATCATAGATATTTAAATATATACACACATTAATATAATGTAGTTATCTATTTTTTTTTACACACATGTAAATAATAATATGGTAAATAGTAAGAAGTCAAAATAAATATCATTATATAGTCTATCAATTGAGTAGTTTATCAATGAATTTTATAAAAGAGATATAAGATTGAATTCTTGTTTCGTCTGTCACATTAAATGAAATAAAACCGCTGAACATTTCAAGTAATTGATTGTCTGCGCTATATGTACAAAACTCCAAATAGTTTTCCATTCCACGTAACTCATACAAGTTTTTGCCACAACTGGCATCTTTCAATCTCATTGTTTCCACAGTAAAATACGGCATGGATCGCGAAGTTCATAACGACGAGCTTGCACTTAAAGCATGTTTTGTCGTATTGTCTCGCGAAAAATAGGCACAGTAATTTAAACGCCGAGCAACATTGTACTTTAAGCTTTGTGTATTTACGACAAAATATCCAGAGGCTACTAGGTTCATACTTTGAATGTATCAATATATAGTTTTTCATTGTGCTATCGTTAGTTATCCTTGTAAACCATTCACTTTCTACTTTATAATGTATTGCACGTTTAACTATTCTTTTCCACGCTATTTTATCGGGAAAACATCCTGTTTTGTGAAAGTCAAGTAAAAAAGTTGAGAGATTATATTTGCCAAAGATCTTAAATATATCAGGGAAAAAACCTTTTGATTTCAGGGGTGATGCCAAATACATACAAAGTCTATTTATAAACACCTGTTTCACCTTGAATTTTGCATGGGCATGACAGAGTTGACACAAAAATATCAGTTTTCTCTGATCTATAATATTCATCACCGGGTAGATTCCCAAAGAGCTCAAGGCTATATCTGTACGTGTATATATAGGTGCAGATTACATTGTTTTGATACATTGTCTATGTGCTCGCTCTATCGGTAGAAGCTGTTTTTCTGTAACGCCGTTCCATAACTCACACCCGTATAGGGCTTTTGGGAGGACAACAAGTTCGTACACTTTCTTTGATGTTAATGGGTTAAGACTGATATCAAAGATACCAAAAAAGGTCTTTTTTAGTTTATTGCAGCTGTCTTTGATATTTTCTTGTAGCGTGAGGTCTTTCGTACATTTTACACCAAGATGTAAATACTCGTCTGCTTCTGTGATTTCCTCTCCGCCCATTGACCATTTTCTGCTACATGAACTATACTCATTAAAAACTACTACTTTACATTTAGAAGAATTGTAGAAATAACGTTCCTTTGTTGAATTTTCATGACATAGTTTTAGGAAATTGATATAACATGTTCGTAATAATTTGGTTTAAACATACTTATTTAAGCTCGATTGCGAAACAAGTCCTTGCAAGTTATAATAATCATTTTCGAGTCCGCTTCATGATACCAACCAGTACTGGTATCATATGGGTTGAGAGGCAGACACCTTCACCACTATGCCACCGCTCACATTTTTAGCTAAAACTGCAAAATTTATAACAAATATAACGAATCTGCTTGTTCCACGACAAATATATCAGATTGTTGTTATAAAACAACATTATATCATTTCCAGCCAAACAGCCCAAAACTTCCAAATTTATAACGAATCTAGGTGCATTTATCAAACGAGAAATTTGTCTAATGGTTGTTGTGCAACAAAATTGTTTCGTTTTCAGCCAATCAGTCAAGCATCAAATCTGAATGTAAATGTGGGTAATAGAGTGGTAGTAGGAGTAATACCAAAGAGACCTTGGACCACTAACCTTTGTGCCTGTATGCAAGACATTGAAGTTTGTAAGTTTGTCTATTTGTATTATTATTTTTACGATATAAGGATAAATTTTAAAAGCGCGAGTGCATGACGTAAACATTTTAATACGATGTACATTTAATACATGTGCTCCACTGTGAGTAAAACATGCCAGTCTCAGAAGAAAGTCGGTCCGATACATGTTCAGTTGATAGATATGTTACCGTCTAAAAAAACTCATTATTTATAGATTAACACTTTTTACATATTATTTTCTTCATATTTGACGTGAGCGGGATAGAGGAATGTCCCTGAAATGACTTGAGTTCATCAATATCTAAGTCATGTCTCTACTTGTATTTAGATCAAATGTCAAGAAATGTTGAAATAGTTTGACATAGCTCAATAACTTGAGTTAACGTATAATTGATTTATATCCCAACAAAAGTGAATCTCGTGTTGTTTATTGGCATTATTTCGCAGAAAATGGCCAAATACACATGGACAAACATTTCACACATGTACATACACTTTTAAAGGTAATAGGGACGCCTTATGTAGACCAATAATCTCGTTACAGCACCAGTATTGATTATTCCAAAATTAACACTTTCCAACCAATTTACCTCATTTTAATTGCAATTTTCAACATTTAATACACATCATGACTTTACTTCAGTTATTAAACAAAGGTGCATATCTTGAAATGCTGGCACTCTTGTAATGACCGGCTGATAGAATCAAAGTCCAAAAGAATCATTTGGAAACATCTGGTGCAGGCCGTCTCGCAATAGAAAATTTCAAAACAAAATGAGACTGAAGATAAAAATAAATGTTTTATCTTAAATTGTTTCACATCTTAATAAATATAACCAATGAACTTTTAGTCCTCACATCACGTGGTGTTCCAACTGAAATCTGTATTGGATCCAGTCAGATCAATTAAGCTTCGTTTTCACTTCCGGTGTCAAAAAAAGTGTATCCCATATAGCGTTGTTTTCATTTTTGAGAGTACATGTATAATAATTCCATATAAAATCCTTATTGCACTTGAATTAACATTTTGGTGTATACAGAATTTATTTTAGTTCGATTGTGTAGGAAGTTATTAGCTTATAAACACACTTTCGAATCTGTTCCTGGAACCAACCATGCAGTACTGAGCAATGAGTGTAAAGTTTCTTGCTCAAGGAAACAACGACTTGCCCCTGTCAGGGTTTGAACCCATACGGCTAGCGGTCATAAGGTTACTAGTCCGAAGCGTTAACCATTCGACCATGCCTCTACTTGAATTAACAAAGTTCTGTCAAAATTGTCAATGTTGAATTTAGTTACCAATGTTTTTAGAGCACATGAAATGTATCTATGATTTTAGGTATGATGGCGTGGTGTCTGACACCGTGCTTCTTGGCAAGGCTGGCGAAAGAGATGGGTGAATGCGTGTGTACACCTTGTTGTATTCCCACCGCCCTGATGGCCATGAGGGTTCAGGTCAGAGCAGCTAATAATATAAGGGTAAGTAAATAATGTAAGCCGCGTCACGACAAAAGTAACATAGTGCGTTTGCGACCAGCATGGATCCAGACCAGCCTGCGCATCCGCGCAGTCTGATCAGGATCCTTGCTGTTCGCTATCAGTTTCTCTACTTGTTATAGGGTTTTTAAGCGAACAGCATGGATCCTAATCAGACTGCGCGGCTGCGCTGGCTGGTCTGGATCCATGCTGGTCGCAAACACATTATGTTGGTTTTGTCATGACGCGGCTCATATGTTTCAAATACCGTCTATTCTTCATTTTTATATCATTAACTACAGTGTATGATGACATGATTTTGTTTAAAACTGATAATTATTGTGTTAACTTCTCAAAAAGTTGTCTTATTAATTGAAAAGTAGAAGAAAGTGAATTCAAAAATATGTATGAGCGTTATCAATTGTAAATAGCTAACAGTTGTCTGATTTTGCAAGGTACATATCTTATTTTCCATAGCTATTTTTTTTTATAAAAAAATGTATTTTTTGATATGACAAAAGGGACCCTCGTCTCCAGATAGTGAATGAAGCTAACTCCGAATGACATGCCCCCCCCCCCCAACTTTGCTGATTTAAATAAAATTAGGAGAAATTTAATTTATGCAAGGGAATAAGCTATATCCATTCAGCATATACACGTACACTATAACTGGTTGATGATGGTCCCTGAGGACTACTTAGTATTGAATATGATGTCTGCATGGAGTAGTATTTGGCGTCTTTCTATGCCATTAAAAACCTGAACATTTTATCTATAAAACATTACAGTATATGTACAGCGTAGATAAGCAAAACTGGTGGCGATGTAAAAATAAAATTTATAGCAGGGATGTGTGCTTAATTACAGTAACTACTGTCGTCGTTGTTCATATCATAACATATGCAGTGTTTGGATTGATTTTATTGCAGGGAAGTATTTGGGAAGACTTTTTTCTGACAAATTGCTGTCCATTATTGACCATGTGTCAGATGAAAAGGGAAATGGACAATGTTGCTCTGAAGAAACCTGGGACACAACTACCTGGGTCAGTACCTGGGTCAATGCCTGGGGCAATGATGTAAATGATGAAGTTAAAGGACTCCTACATTTCATCACAAAATAACATACGGGTATGACAAGACGTCATTTCCTGTTTAATTGTGGATATGTATAAGAAAATCTGATACTGTTTCAATAGTCGATCTGTGCTTAATATTTCATATTCTCTTTCTTGTGCTAAAACATTTATATTATTTCAACATTTATTTTTTTTCTTTGTATTTCTATATGAAAAGCATGCAATTTCAAATGAAATATAACACATTGTGTATGAAAATTTGTTTTTGATTTTTTCTGTTTTCTGTTAACTATAATACTCTAGCTACAAAATTGCATTTGCGCAACAACTTTTTATCAGCGCGACATCCCGAGGCGATAGTTTCTTTTGGTGATACGGTAAATTGCAATAAAACCCCGCCATCTCTTGGACTATTACTTTTACTATATACTAAATGAATGTAATCTTACAATTGAAGTAATTTCAAACATTGATCTCATTAAACCTGAATTTAACTAAAGATGTAATAACAGCATACTATACATAAAGGACATTCCGTCCGTCCTTCCGTCCTTTTTTCCGTTCTCTTTTGTGTGACACGTAACTCAAAAAGTATTTGACCTAGAGTCATGAAACTTTACAGAAATGTTGATCACCATGTGTAGTTGTGCGCCTGGGTATTTTCGTCTGGATATTTTAGTTTTTTTAAGAGTAATTACCTTTGACTTAGTAAGATTTTTCAATTTTCAACTGTGTCGCATGTAACTCAAAAAGTATTTCACCTAGGCATGAAACTTTACAGGAATGTTGATCACCAAGTGTAGTTGTGCACCTGGGTATTTTCGTCTGGAGTTATTTAGTATTTTTAGGGTTATTGCCCTTGACTTAGTAAAACTTTTGCAATTTTCAACTTGTATGCATGTAACTCAAAAAATATTTGACCTAGAGTCATGAAACTTTACAGGAATGTTGATCACATGTGTAGTTGTGCACCAGGGTATTTTCGTCTGGAGTTATTTAGTATTTTTAGGGTTATTGCCCTTGACTTAGTAAAACTTTTGCAATTTTCAACTTGTATGCATGTAACTCAAAAAATATTTGACCCAGAGTCATGATACTTTACAGGAATGTTGATCAGCATGTGTAGTTGTGCACCTGGGTATTTTCGTCTGGATTTGTTTAGTATTTATAGAGTTATTGCCCTTGACTTAGAAATTTTTTGCAATTTTCAACTTGTGTCGCATGTAACTCAAAAAGGATTTGACATAGAGTCATTAAACCTTACGGGAAGGTTGCTCAGCATATTTAGTTTTGCACCTGGGGTTTCGCTTGTGGATTTATCCAGTATTTGTAGAGCTATTTCCCTTGACTTAGTAAAACCGTTTCATTATGTTGTTATTTGTTCCTTGAGATCTTGAGTTAGAATCAACCAACTTTTACAGGAATAATGATCACCATCACTAAATTACAGGAATAATGATTCACATCACTGTGAAGCTATGCACCTGGGACTTTGCATATGGATATTTTCAGTTTTGTTAGAGTTATTGCCCTTCACTTACAATAGTATAAATTTGCAATTTTCAACTTGTTCATGCATAGCTCAAAAAGTATTTCACGTGTAGGTATGAAATTTACAAAAAATGTTGGTCAGCATGTGTACATGTGCACCTTCGGGTTTGCTTGTGGATTTATTCAGTTTTTTTTTAAAGTTCTTGCCCTTAACTTAGTAAAAGATTTTTAGTTTTCAAAAAATATGTGACCTAGAGTCATAAGGTTGACAGAACAGTGGCGCGGTGGGGGCACCCGTGTCCTATGGACACATTTCTAGTTTAATCCAATAATCTGATATTAGAATTATAATTATAATAAATTATAATTAAACAGGTAAGGGATCTATGCATTTTGATAAAATTTGAACAACGTTACCTTGGTAGAGGTCTATTAGAAAATGTTTATCCAAAATATATAAAGTTCTATCCTTAGAGAACTCAGAGGAAAATATCGTTTTATAAATATAACGACAAATCATTTTCCGGGCCAGTCGACTAGAAGTTTCATGCTCTAAAGTCTGCCGTTTTAAAGCCGATTTAAGTTTTTACAATATACATGTAAGAAAAACTTTAGAAGTCCTTTCCCCAAATTAACATCCTTTCGCGTTTAATTGGAATAGGACTTGGGGTTAATGTAGAAAACATTTTATGTATATAACAGAGAACATACACGCATACAAGACAATTCTGCGATGCAGTGGCACGAAAAGTTAGTTTGTAGTCGCTTTCTTGCTGCTGAAGCCTAATATAGTTGTGTTAGTTGTACCGTTGTCTATTATCGTCCAGGTCTAATCATCACAAAACACGCATGGAAATTTTCAAGGCGATAGACTACAGTGATTGCAATGCATTATAAAGATTTACTTCATATTCTAGTTTAAATATACATGTACGGGGTTAAACTAATGTCATACACAGATGATCGGGACTGAAAACATTCAATGCAAATTTTGTACACTGCACATTTTAGTTTGGATAAAAACAACTAGAAATATGTCCAAAAGACAGTACGTATGTCCCCAAACTGCACCGTTTTGTCAGTCTACTGACGTACAGCAGGGCAGTATGACAAAAGGAAATACAAAGAAAATACTACATTCATTTTTTCCAATGTTGACTTCTTGATTTTTCCCAATATTGATTTCAAGTCCCAATTTTATATCCTAAAGTATGCTTAAAAGTAAATAAAAACAAAGTCCCGTATGAACAACTACACATACTGACCAACAGTACTGTAAAGTTTCATGATTCTAGGTTTGTTTGTTTGGGCAATAACTTCACAAATTCTGGTCAACTACATATGCTGACCAACATTTCTGTCAAGTTTCATTACTGGAGGTCAGATACATTTTGTACTACGCACGTCACAAGTTGAAAATTTCAAATTTATACTAAGTCACGGGCATTTACTCCCAGAAACCCAAAAGCCAACCCCAGGAGCACAGCTTCACATGCTGATCAACATTCCAGTAATTTGGGATACATGACAAAAACATTTTGGACGGTTTTTACAAAGTCAAAGGTAAGTACTTTACAAATTCTGAAAGAAAATATGTACAAGCAAACCCATAGGTGCATAACTACACTTGCTGACCAACATTCCTATAAAGTTTCATGACTCTAGGTCAAATAGTTTTAGCGGTACTCGTGACACAATAATTTGAAAGTTGCAATTTTTCACTAAGTCAAGGGCAACTGTATAAATACTGAATAAACCACAATCAAACCACAAAGTGCACAATTACTCACCCTGACCAACATTTCTGCAAGGTTTCATGACTAGATCAAATTAAATAAAATAGCTCTACAAAAACTTACTGAATCCACGAGCAACCTCCCATGTGCACAACTACACATGCTGACCAATATTCCTATAAAATTTCATGACTCTAGGTTAAATACTTTTTGCGCTACTGCAACGCAATATGAAAATTGCATTTTTTTATAAAGTCAAGGGCAATAACTCTACAAGAACTGAGTATTTCCATAAGCAAACCCCAAGTACACAACCATAGAAGCTGACCAACATTCCTATAAAGTTTCATGACTCTAGGTAAAAAACGTTTTGGGCTTAGCCGGACATAAAATGAAAATTTGCATTTTTTTTATTAAGTCAAGGGCAATAACTCAAAAATATTAATTAAATCCTCAAGCAAACCCCAGTTGCACAACAACAGATGATGATCAACATTTCTGTAAAGTTTCATGAGTCAAGGTCAATTTTTTATTTTTTTGAATGCAGGGCACAAGTTGAGAATTACAAATGTCATACAAAATGATCTCACATCTCAATAAATCCACAATCAAACCCTAAAGGTGTACAATTACAATAATTGTAAATTGCTGACAAACATTTCTGTAAAGTTCATGACTAGGTCAAATATATTTTCGGCAACATACAACCCAATAGCTCTAAATACTGAATAGCTACATATGCTGACCACATTCCACTAAATTTTCACGACTCTTGGTCAGATATTGTGAGCTACGCGCATTACAAATTGAAAACTGATTTTTTTTCCCAATAAAAAGCGCAACTAGACTTATCACTTGATGTGATCAATACCTCCACCAGCAACTTTGACTTTTTGAAAAAAAAGTTACTGAAGAAAAATTTGAACTCATCCTATAGTAAGTGAAGTATCAACTGTATACAAAGATTTGTTTTTCAATTAATTGCAATTCAAACCAGGATCTTCATATAAACTTCCTATTAACCAAGTTTGATTACAATATCTCATTTCTAACTCTAGTTATTGTCTGGTAACCATTTTTCTATTCTTATTAATGGCGACCTTGACCCCAGAGGTCAAAATGCAATACCAACCAAGGTCTTCATATAAGCTTGCTATACACCAAGTTTGATTACAATCCAGAACTCATGTTTCTATTTTTAGTAACGGTCACCTTGACCCAGGGCTCCAAATGCAATACCAACAGGGGTCTCCATACACAAAGTTGGATTACAATATCTCATTCTTAACTTGTTATTGTAGGGAAACCATTTTTCTTTTTTAATAACAGTGACCTTGAAAGTTTGATTACAATACCTCATGCCAAACTCTAGTTATCGTCCGGAAACCCATGAAGAAGTCCAACAAGCTGACTCCTATATACCCCCCTAACTTCATTTGTGGGGGTGTAATAACTCTGACAAATGTGAATTAAACGAAAGAACAAGGGATGATCAATATTTCTGTAAAGTTTGTTGACTAGCTCAAGCACTTTTAGACCTACATGTGACACAACATGAGAACGGATGGGCCCACAAACAAAAGGGCAAATCTAATGCCCCCCCCCCTTCTTACTCCCCATCCAAGGGGGCACAAAAGGAAACAAACAAGGTTGTAGAAAACTGTATATATAATTTATTTGTTTTAATAGGAAATAAACAGCACTTACAGTGAGCACAATTTGCAACTATAGAGTAAAGTTCTAACAACAATGTAATCATACAGTGTATAGGATAATAATGTCTATGAAATAAGCCAAGAAATTCAACACAAGACTAATTAATGATACAGAGAACAGTGGAATCACTTGAAACATAAAACATACACATCATTTCTCTTATATAATCATATATACTAAAGTAAATTTATGTTTGAAAAAAAAATATCAATCTATAAAATACAATATTTCATATATATGACATTGGAATCACTTCACACATAACCTCCAATCAACACCGAAGAAAAACAAAACTTTTAATTTTCTTTGTAAATTTCATCCTCTATCATTTTGTGTATTGATTGATGAATATCACCAAGATTTGTACAAGCATAATTTTCCATGTTGATTTATAGAAGCTCCCATTCGATTGGGAAAAGCATAATTTTTCAATCTTTTTATTGATAAAAAGCTTAATTTTCCATGATGATTTATAAAAGCTTCATTTTACATCCTGATTGGTAAAAAGCTTGTTAAACAAGCAATTATCATAGTATTGCAAGCAATCCATAAGTCCCCTACCGGTAAGAGCCCAAGCAACATTCTGAAGGGCCATTCACTTAGGTTCCTATTTTAAGTAAATTTGTTGAAAAAGTTCTTTAAAAGTGATCACAGGAAACAGTTTTTATGTACAGACAGACGGACTGAAGGACACTCTAAAGTTACTTTTTAAACATCCCTGTTATCAAAATATAACATTTTTAAAATCCTATCATGATTGAAGAATTTCTCAAAAAAAAGTCTAAGTTCAAAAGGGGCATAATTCTGGAAATAGTCTTGCTAGAGTATTGAACACTCGCAAATGTTGAGTGACAATAAGAAACATTTATATAAAGTTTGAAGTAGATATATTCAGAAAAAGAAGTTATTAAAAAAAAACAATGTTTTTTTCATGAAAATTTTAAGTTCAAGGGAGTCAATTCTGATAAATTTTGTACTAGAGTTGTAAACCTTGCCAAATATGATATGTATGATGACAAGCAACTTATATTTAAAGTTTGAAGAAAATACCTTAAGAAATAAAGAACTTATAGTGAAAAAACTTAAAAACTAGAATAAGAAATCTTGAAATTCAGTCTATTTGTTGCCATAGCAACCAGAATTTTCAACATAGGAAGATAAGAAAAGGATGTGCATAATTTCCATACTGCCATCTACACATATGTCAAGTTTCATAAACATATTTTCAGTACTTTTTGTGTTATCACTGGATCCAGGTTATGTGTAAAATTTGCCATATTTTCAGTCTATTTGTTGCCATAGCAACCAGAATTTTCAACATAGGAAGAAAAGAAAAAGACGTGCATAATCTCCATACTGCCATCTATCCATATATCAAGTTTCATAAAAATATTTTCAGTACTTTTTGCGTTATCGCTGGATCCTGTTTATGTGTAAAATTTGTCATATTTTCAGTCTATTTGTTGCCATAGCAACCAGAATTTTCATCATAGGAAGAAAAAAAAAAGACGTGCATAATCTCCATACTGCCATCTATCCATATATCAAGTTTCATTAAAATATTTTCAGTACTTTTTGCGTTATCGCGGGATCCAGTTTTGTGGACGGACGGACTGACGGACGGACAGACGGACGGACAGACAGACGGAGGGTAAACCTAAAGTCCCCTCCGGTAAACCGGTAGGGGACTAAAAACTTAAAATTTTAGCTTAATTGGTAATGAACATAACATCTTGATTTCATGAAAGAATTATAGAAAAAAATCCACTGAAAATGTTCAGAAACATATCATATATGCTTGTAACAAAAAATACAGACCATGATAAAGAGTTAATACAACATTATTTGGAAGAACATGAGGACAGAAGAGGTATTATAATTATACAATTTTTTTTTCTATTATGTGTCTTGATTTGTATGGACCAGGAACCTGCCAATGCTAAATTTCTGTAATGAACTTATCCTGCCTTGATTGTGGTAGAGTCCACTGTATATTTGAAGGGTTTCAATATCAAACTACTTATATTGAGCAGCAGATAGTGGAGTGGCTTTAAATTGATTGCTTGGTCAGCTAGTATTAGAAGAGAATTTTTTTCTCTCTCCATTTATGCCTTTTAACAATGAATTAAATGAAATCAAAAAGTCTTGCTTTAAAACAATTCCTTTTTAACATTAATATTGAACAGTTTGTTCTAGCTGAAGCAAAAAAAAATGTTCTTGAAAGCATCTGATGCTAACTTTATAAGAAAAATACTATTTGAAATACTGTCTTTTAAATGTTTGAGATCTGTATCAATTAGTGAAATATTTTAACAAATTAACATAAATTGAAAATCTGCTGCAATAGTTTAAGGGAGTGATGGAATGAGATTTTCTCTCAGAAATTATTATTAACCAAATTACAAATACTGCAACAACCTTGACATCCTATAAATAATTAGCTGCTGCATCAACCCTGAACAACTTCATTAGTAAAACTTTATACGTTATATTAACTATTGATTATCACGTCAATGTTCTTTCCATATCTTAATACAGTCATTAATTTTATGTTTTTAACACTTCATGATCAATGTAGCTTGTTTAACAAATTGGAGAATAAATACTGTATCAAATTTCCAATAATAACAAGAAAACTAAAGTTGCTGGACTTCCTAGCAACACATATATTTGTCAGCATTAAAATACCTTTGCTCATCTCAAGCTGCCACAAAAAAAAACTTCTGCCCTAGAAAATGTCACTGGAAATTACACTTTTGCATAATGATAATTTCGGACCTTTGGCAAATGTGTAAAACATGCTGGGCATTTTTATGTGAACATTAGTTTTCAACCTGAGTAACTAATGACAAACGGCTGCTGGGCAGCGTCTATTTTTCAAAGAAATCGTTTTATTGGCCGGTGTCCGGGCTCTGTGACAATCAGACAACAGCAGCTGAGAATTTTGCTAATCGGGCAGACATCTTTAACTTTAAAATCGCCCTGCATTTGTGAAATCTTCAAAACTGCTGATGCTGTAGTTTGTTAAATCGTGCCGCAGCGGTTCTATTTGTGACCTCGGCATTAGTAAACAATGTTAAGCATACAGATAAGCAATAGTCCCATGTAACTGTATGGCTTTCATTTTGCTGTTCCAGGAATAATATTGACAGAGCAAACAAATACATGCAAAAATACAAGAGTACCAATAGTAAATAACATACCTCCCTTTATAACTAATGACAGCGTTCTTTATACACATTTTATTAACCATTAACCTTCAGTATTTCTTAAATGGACCCGTCCAACTTCCATTTTTGGAACTACATGTATGCTTAAGATATCAATTTTTGGGATAGCAAGATAAAAATTCAAAGTTACACAGCCATCGGCATAAAACAAGGTCAGACTGTACAAGCATCATCAGACTGTATAAATAATCTGGTTATATACTAGTGGCAAAGGCTAATTACTTTTGATAAACTAGTGCTACATTGAATCCATGAATATTTTTTCAATATTTTACAGACAGATTAGAAAAGAAAAGGTGGGTCTTTCATGAGGAACACCACGTATATATGCAGGTAAGTCGTTAATGAATGAGGTACTATCAGACACAATTGTGTCATCAAATACACAAACAACTTCTATCATTACATAACATCAGTTTGTAACAATAATAACTATCATCTATAAGTCCTTAAAGTTCACAAAGAAATGACAAACAAATAATAGTTTGCTGAAATGGCAACAATATAACTATAAAAACTTTATTTCATATAAGTCGTGAAGTAATGTCTGACCATCATATACTGGCAAACTACATGTTATGATGTATTTTAAAACTGGCACTTTACCATCAGATTCCCAACATGCTGTATATCTATAGATAAACACACAACATGAATCAAGCTCTACATACATTCAATGTTTTAATGAAATCTTGTCAACATTTAACAGACCAAAAGAACAGCAATAATGAATATTTCTGCAACAAAATTTCTCTGTCCTCTAGTTCTCTTACAAGAATCATAAGGAAAATTGTTATTTCAAAGTAGTTTGTAAGGTTGATTGGTCTGTATTTTTCATACCATTAAAAAATGACCATATTTGTAGCTAGAATTTCTTCTTACCACACTATTTTAATATCTAATACGTGAGACAAATTATTTATCTATTGTTACAAACACCTGTGATAGCACTGACCTGACTGTAGTAAGCTTCTAAACACAAAGACATACAAATGCATTATGTAATAACACAAATGTACGATGTTACAACACAATTGTGAAATGCCATAACACAAATGTATTATGTAATAACACAAATCTAATATGTTATAACACAGCTGTGAAAGTCATAACACAAATGTATTATGTAATATATTTTGTAATAACACAAATGTATGTTGTTATAACACAGCTGTGAAATGTCATAAAACAAATGTATTATGCAATAACATCAATGTATGATGTTATAACACAAATGTTTTTTGTAATAACACAAATGTATTATGTAATTTCACAAATGTATTATGTAATAACACAAATATTTTGTTATAACACATAAATGATGTTATAAAAACAGTTGTATTATGTAATAACACATATGTATATATATATATGTATATATTAACACAAATGTATTATGTTATAACACAAATATGAAATGTTATAACAAAACTATGAAATGTAATATAATTGTATGATGTAATAAGTCAACTGTATAATGTAATAATGCACCAAACACATTCATGGAATCATGGTAGGTCAAACAAACAGATCAGAATAATTGACAAAAATACATCACATACATGAGCACTAGTTCATACCATCACAGAAAAAGAACAATATTGTCCTTGCAAAACGCAACCAAAATCTTTTAAAAAAAAAATGGCCAAGTATAGTTTTACATGTATTTGTTTTCCAAATCCACTTTCAATTAAGTTGTTTTTTCATTGGACAGACAAAATGAGCCGCGTCATGACAAAACCAACATAATGTGTTTGCGACCAGCATGGATCCAGACCAGCCTGCGCATCCGCGCAGTCTGATCAGGATCCATGCTGTTCGCTTACAAACCCTATAGCAAGTAGAGAAACTGATAGCGAACAGCATGGATCCTGATCAGACTGCGCGGATGTGCAGGCTGGTCTGGATCCATGCTGGTCGCAAACCCATTATGTTGGTTTTGTTGTGACACGGCTCAAATGTTTTTGACAAACACAATGTGAATATATTTGCTGTTTTGTTTTCTTCAAGTATCTAATATAGATATCTCTCTATGTAGAAGTCAGCTATGAAAAACCACTATTAAAATCTTAACTTAACTGAATGCTGTTTCAAAAAACCAAAGATTATTTTAATTAAGTTCATATAAATTTATGTTCTGTATTTACATAGTTTTGCTAGTGAAATTTAAAACAAACAGCGACAATGGTTCTTGAATATGGGTGTGAATATGAATTGACTATATTAGGGATGATGCAAATATTATCTCGAGGATTGCATGTAATACTGTGGTACTAATAACTTACTCTAAAAGTTTATTATTGAGATGACAAAATTGCATTCAATCCTTGAAAAATATTATGATACATGACTATTCATTAACATGAAGCAAGATCTTTAGAATTCCTCATTAGATGATACAATGACCTTTTTTTCAATCACATTTGGAAAAAAAACCTACAAAGTTACAGGTTTCCCCAAAACTTTTTAATACATTTTTGATGTTTTCCTACAGGAGTAGTTATTAAATTGGGATTAAAGTAGCAATATTTTTTTTCTTTATACAATTAATTATCATTCCTTTGAACTAATCAAATTGTGGTATTTGCTACTACATAATAGAATTACAAGCCTTTGAAACTTGGGTTTGTATCTTATTTTTTTTATACTTGCAGAGGTTCACATATTTTAACACTTTCCCTTCTGAATTATATTGGCAGATAGGTCTTAAGTACAGTCATCTTTACAAGACAATACCATACATGTATTATGTAGGAACATCAAGAACGATGTGATAAACATACTAATGAAGAATCCTATTTATCCTGACTATTACATTAACCTGTAGATAAGCAACTGATATGTGTATAAATGTTTGATACAAAATTGTGCTTTCTTTATTTACAAGATAATTAGTGGAGGGCCTATATAATAAAGTTTACCTTATACATGATATAAAAATGTAGCACACTGGTCAGTGTACTATTCTATAAAACTATAGTAACAGTTATAATGTTAATGGTTATATAATATTACCTGTCAAAGCAGGCAGAACATGTAATATATGCAACAGATAGAGGCTATCTACTGTTTTCGTAGCTAAATTAGGATCATTTTTAATCACAAATCTACAATATACAAACATAATTTGTGCATGTCAATAAACTTCTTTAAATGCTAAACTTAGAAGATAAAATTTTTACTGCTCTGTCAAAAAATCTAATATGCCTATGTATCATAACTAGTACTGAAGTAAATTATTACTTACAATTTAAGTTGAATATGAAACAACAAAACATACCTCAATGCATATATAAAATGAAAACACTTATCTTTTCTATTATGATGACACATACTTCAATTATTTTTTGTTCAGAATGCTCTTTTTCAAACATTTAATGTTTCCTGTCTTGTATATCTGCGTGTTTTAACACTTAAAACTGTGAAATCTGTATAATGGATTCGCATAGCTCAGAAACTAGAACATTCAATTTAAAGTCTCAAGGGATTTCAATATCATAAGAGAAAAGATATGAGCCGCATCACAACAAAACCAACATAATGGGTTTTCGACCAGCATGGATCCAGACCAGCCTGCACATCTGCGCAGTCTGATCAGGGTCCATGCTGTTCGCTTGCTTACTACCGGTATAACAAGTAGAGAAACTGATAGCGAACAGCATGGAACCTGATCAGACTGCGCAGATGTGCAGGCTGGTCTGGATTCATTCTGGTCGCAAACGTACTATGTTGGTTTTGTCATGACAGGGCTCATATTAGCCTACCAACAGCAACAGCCTGGTCAGATTGTAGCACAATACTTTAGGCTGGCCTGGCTCTATGGCAAATACCAATTACTTTAGGTTACACCAGGTTAAAGGCTTACACAAAATTTAATTAATTTAAACATACTTTATTGCTCATAATACATGTAATACCAATATACAAAGAACAAAAGTAAGTGGGCTGAGCAGCAATTTTTTCCCAGCTCATTTGTTTTTGTATGCTTGTTCTTTGGTATATGAATTTAATTCATTGTCATATAGTAAAACCTATAATCAGGGGAGAGATTTTCATTTTCAATTGGGTTTATCATTAGATATTACATATTTTAGTAACAAAAATGAGCAAGATTAATCACAAAGGCAATAGGCTTATTTACAATTAACCTTAACATATCAAGTAATGTTCAGGCCATATATTCTATCAAGCAGTCCATTTTGATTGTTATATATATATTATGCTCTGGTCTCAAATGTCATTTAGTCACACATTTTGTGGTCATCTATGTACTATATTGTGCTACAGTAGTATATAATGCTGCAGTACTATATAACAGCATGTACTATATGTGTAACTAACATAAAGTGACATTATGCCCATCCAAAGGTATATAGTGAGTGAACAGAAAAAGTCAAAATTAGTTTACATTTAGCCATAATTCCTTTCAATTTTATAATTTACTTCAAATTTATAATTTACTTCAAATAAATAATAAATAACTCACATTGTGAAAGGAAATATTTGTAAATATCCATCTGAATTTACCTGTAATGTTCCATTTATAAAAAGAGTGGGGCAGTCTTTTTGTATTTTATGCAGATTTATATTTCACCATAAACATTTTCTAATATCAACTGTTGGCCAACCACTATTATATCAATCAGTCTTTTGGAATATACTGTCAATTCCATTCACTTCGACAATGAAAACATGAGCATAATGTCCCTTTAATTACACGGATCAATTGCTATATAATATATATGTAAATATATACGTATATCTTACTGACATATTTCAACATATTTTTAAAATTAATCCTGGAATTTAAGTAAAAACAATAATTTAACATTCATATAAGGTGTTTATTGTACCACTACCAGAACTTGTTCTTCCTACAAAATAACTTGCAAAAACTGTAGACTTTGAATCCTATATTTTAATGTATTTAGCAAAATGTGTTTTCTTATGGTCTATGTTTTAAAAACAAGATTATTAGTAATACATTGTGCAACAAACTTATGATATCTGTTAATCAAGATACTATGTCAGTAATGTATGTATAAGACATAGTTTAAGATATACATGAATATTTTGATATTATGCTAACAGTAGTTATAAACAAATGTAAAGCTATAGCACTAATATGAGATAAACTTGTCAACAAAAAAATAAAGGAAGAAAAATAGCATCAACAAAAACATCTCAACAAAGAATACAAGTTTTAACTAATACACATATAATTGTTGATTTTTTAACAAAAGAAAGTCTCCTTCAGGTTAATAAGTCATGTATTATTATATATAATGATTAAACCTCCTAAGACTGGTAAACAATACTTATAAAAGACAAGTGTATGACACACACAAATAATAACATGCATGTGTCATGTGTAAACCAATTAACTATCACATCAACTAAGTTAAAAAGAAAATAAATCTTTTATATTAATGCCAAAGAATTTTTTTTTTAATATCAGACTCAAAATGTAGGATATGTCTTGGTATTTGTTCCCTCAAATAAAGAAATGTAACCCATCATCTACATTCTGATTACGGTTTCAATTATGAATTTATCAGATTGTAACTAGATTTATCTAGACAAATTGACAAAACAAATTACAAAACAATTTACAAAGCATAAATCTATAAATTTCACAGAAAAAATGACTGAAAATCGTACAAAATTCTGAAAATGTCGACAAGCAAAAATCACAAATTGAACAATGACTTTCAATGCTGAACATTGCAACATATTACAAAATAAAGCAATAAACAAACAACTACCAGTAATATAACATTTTTATCATGCCTCACAACATTCATAGGAATCTATTTGGCAATTAAAGCAATAACATTCATCATGTGAGAAAAAAAAAACAACCAAAAAACAAATAGGGTGCTCAAAATTTCCAAATGCAACCCCATCCCCCTACCCTAAAAAAAATTCAGCTTATCTCAATACTGTATGCATCCCAATTAAATACAAAGATTAATAAAAAAATCACTCTTAACTTAAAGCCTCAGAAAATAATATGATTTCCCTCTGAAGTAAAGGCAAAGATGGGTTTTTATTATGATTTCTTTTATCATAGAAGCTCAACATGTAAGCAGTGTTAAATTTGAAATAATCTGTTAATAAAGCAACTGAAGTTAACAAAGTGCTATCACGCTAAAGCTTCTGAGAAATAAAAATATTTGCATTTTTTGGGCTTGAGATGTCTTTAATAAAAAAAAAAACCCAATGAATTTTCATAACAAGATTGTAAATTTCAGAGATAAGGAGATTATAATCCAAAATGCCATAATCCGAGAAATCATAAGAAATCTTTATTTCTTTTAGTTTATATACAGTACTATGTAACAATTATAACTAACAGCTGAAAGTGAATATCAAAATCCCAAATATCTTTCAAAGAATGTTTTTAAAAAAAGCAGTATCAAAACAAATATTCATATAAAACAAATTGTAGAGGAGAGAATATATAATCTTAAGGCTATATAAATATACAGCGTCCTCCTGTCAATGTATCCTCATTTCCAAATAGTTTGTGTCCTTTACAACTGAATTCTAACACATCCCTGAAACACTCCCCCCTGTCAAGACAGTTAATGCAAAACTTGAAAAACAATTTTCACGTAAAATTCACAAAAAACATATTAAGAACATGAGCAATATTGTCATGTTCGGTAAACCACATTTAGTTAGTGATTTCCATTATTCCTGTACAAGGATATTATTTAATATAAACATTCCAAAGTGATTAAACTTACAATGAAACTTTGCCAATAGTATTTCCATCAAAATTCTCATCTTGAAATGAAATACTTCTCAAATTTTCAAACATTAAAAAAAAAAAAAATTCATATCTTCATTTAAGAAAAATAAAGACAATATTTTGAGACTTTGTCACATGATCCAACTGTGTCATGTGATCAATCATGTGATCAAATCACATGACAAAAAACTTTTTCTTGTTAGTCTAAATGAATGAATGTAGTACTAGTACTAAATGCTATTTGCTATATACAGAGCTGTTGCCTCTATATGATATTTATGCTGCTATCAAACAGCTGTTGAACTTTTTGGTCTTGCTTTGCCACGTCTCTGAGCAAGGAAAGAGGCACCTACTGGTTCTAGTGACGGCACCTTTGGTTGGGTATTCAATGCTTTAAATGTAGCTGCCATTGCACCCTGCAAAAATTGTGAATTTACACCGGTCAAAAAGCTTGTCAAGATAATGCTAATACACAATAGACACTTTTAATTTTCCACGACCCCTCACTTTTTTAAATGCCTTAAACAATGTATTACAAATAAAATTGAAGCAAACCAGCAAACTATTTTCACCCTTTCAATTTTTTCTTTGAATCAGACAAGCCAAAAAAATCACTGCAAAGTGAGGCATGTTCTATATTTGCGCAGAACATTTTCTTTTTCATTATGTAGCTTTTTCCATATAACTTGTCAAATGCCAATTCAGAATTGGAATCAAATTCCATTATTTTATAGGATGTTATCCATGATGCCATGAAAATCTTTGTCATGCATTTTTATTTACTACATCCTTGAATATATAGCGTGAAAACCAAACATTCTCAATCTCACTCAGTTTCAATGGTGTGCTTATGACTTATATCAAAATGCTGTTTTATTAATATTTGAACAAACAAAAACTAGAACTATCACTAAATGTGATTAATACCCCCACAAGACTGCTTCGGAAATGAGGATGTTACTAGTAACAGAATATCTTGTAAAAGAATTGAAATATAGAGTTATGGTTGTGGGCAATTAAAGATAGTTGTGGTTCTTGTATATTGCATTTCCTTTCAATGTGGTTGGCCATTGATGAAGTTTTATTGAATTACTCTGTAATAAGTCCAGAAAGACAAAGAAAAGGAACAAAGGGCAATAACTCTATAAATACTGAAGATGGAGTTATAGTTCTTGTGCACTGCACTTCCTCTTTTTGTGCTTGACCATTGTATGAAGTTGTTTTGAATTTCAACCAGTACGTTTTAAGTTATGCTCCAGACAAGGAAAAGTATCAAAGGGCAGTAACTCTGTATTTTGTCAAAATGGAGTTATGGCTCTTATGCACTGCACTTCCTTTTAATGTCCTTGACAACTGTATGAAGTTGTTTTGAATTCCAAACAGTAGTTTTCAAGTTATGCTCTGGACAAGGAAAAGTAACAAAGGGCAATAACTCTGTAATTTGTCAAGATGGAGTTATGGTTCTTGTGCAGCACTGCACTTCCTCTCAATGTGCTTGACCATTGTATGAAGTTATATTGAATTCCAACCATTAGTCTTCAAGTTATGCTCCGGACAAAAAAAAAGCAATGGAAAAGTAACAAAGGGCAGTAACTCTGTAATTAGTCAAGATGGAGTTATGGTTCTTGTGCACTGCACTTCCTCTCAATGTGCTTGACCATTGTATGAAGTTATAATGAATTCCAACAATTAGTCTTCAAGTTATACTCCGGACAAAAGAAAGCAATGGAAAAGTAACAAAGGGCAATAACTCTGTAATTACTTTAGATAGAGTTATGGTTCTTATGCACTGCACTTCCCCTTACTGTGTTTGACAATTGTATGAAGTTGTTTTGAATTCCAACCAGTAATTTTCAAGTTATGCCCCGGACAAGGAAAAGTAACAAAGGGCAATAACTCTGTAATTAGTCAAGATAGAGTTATGGTTCTTGTGCACTGCACTTCCTCTCAATGTGCTTGACCATTGTATGTAGTTATATTGAATTCCAACCATTAGTCTTCAAGTTATGGTCCAGACAAAAGAAAGCAATGGAAAAGTAACAAAGGACAATAACTCTGTAATTACTTTAGATAGAGTTATGGTTCTTGTGCACTGCACTTCCCCTTATTGTGTTTGACAATTGTATGAAGTTGTTTTGAATTCCAACCAGTAGTTTTCAAGTTATGCCCCGGACAAGGAAAAGTAACAAAGGGCAGTAACTCTGTAATTAGTCAAGATAGAGTTATGGTTCTTGTGCAATGCACTTCCTCTCAATGTGCTTGACCATTGTATGTAGTTATATTGAATTCCAACCATTAGTCTTCAAGTTATGGTCCGGACAAGGAAAATGCAACGGACGTCTGGACCGACCGACCGACCGCCCGACCGACCAACCGACCACCGGGTGACTCCTATATACCCCCCCAAACTTCGTTTTTGGGGGTATAAAAAAACCTCATAAGTTAACAATAATAGATTACCTTCACAGCACTAGCATCTTGTAAGGTAAGTCTCATATGAGGCAGGTTATCTCTCATGGCTACCCATGGGTGTTTTAAAACATCTCCTGCTGCCAAACGTTTGTGTGGATCAACATGTAACATTTTACTCACCAAATCCTGGAAGGCAAAATAAAAACACAAGTTTCAGCACTTATATTACAAATAAACAAAAGCAGAGTTCCTAGTTTTTGCATTTGTGTTCATCGATTTTTGTCTGACCGGAAACTGGCAATTTTCCCAACATGACCCAGTGATAAAGTACACAAAGCAAGAACCACAACGTTATGTAATAAAACATGTAAACTCATACCAGACTCAAACTTGCAAAATTGATGATAATGCACAAAACTCTTTTGCTTTTCAGATAAAATTGAAAAGTGAAGCTATTAAAGTAAATTTTGAGACATCCCAATCTCTTAACATAGGTTTTTCAGCAAAAATGACACTGTTAGATATTATACATGAGGTTGAACATTCTTCATTCCATATGATAACCCCATCAATCAAGTCCTACAATATTTTCTCTTCCTAAAATTTTTTTTCTGGAAATTACCTTAGCTGCCACTGACACAGAATCCCAGTTTCCTCCACTAAGACTGAACTTTCCTTCACCAATACGCCCTAATATATCATTTGGAGTGTCATTTGGTCCATTTGCAAATGGTGTATGCCTGTAAGATATATTATTTATCAATATTATACACATTAGGTCACACAAAATGCAATTTTATTCATAATTCACTAAAGTATCTTGGTATTAATTTTATTTACTAAAACTCTGAACATTTACAACAATTTAACTTATTGACGATATTTATAAATCATGCCATTACTGAAATATTGTGCAAACACACCCATTACTGAAATATTGTGCAAACACACCCATTACTGAAATATTGTGCAAACACAAAATCAAGCAATGGAAGATCAATATTGTGGACTCACCCTGCCAACATAGTGTATAAAAGAACTCCCAGACTCCATATATCACAGGCAGCATCATATCCTTGACGTTTTAACACCTACAATATATCATCAATAGAAATACTTGTTATACTTCAATAACAATACCAAGATCACCTGAAGCCAAACAATAACAAAATTTGTGTTCTCATATTTTGTTAGTTTGACTGGGTTTTACATCACACCGACACAGTATAATTGTATAGGTCATATGGCGACATTTTAGCTTTACTGGTGGAGGAAGGCCTCAGGTGCCCTTCCGTGCATTATTTCAGGCACGTACAGGTACTTTGAGTAGAATGTGAAAGAATCCAAAGTCCGTGTTGTGAATCGAAACCAACAGCGGTGAGGGGCAAGTGGTTTGAAGTCAATGACCTTATCCACTCGGCCATGGACGCCCCTCAGTGTTGTCATATATTTGAAAGATCTCACACAGCAATGTTTAAAGATACAAACAAAACTATTAACATGAATGACTGACTCTTATATGAGTATTAGTATCACATATGGATCCTCTCCACATTCTCATTCATGCAATGATTATTTAAGGAATATATAAAAATCTAAAAAAAATGTGCATATTTCTACACTTTCACAAAAGTTAATCTGCAATAGTATACAGATGAACACATCTAAAAATGCCTATATTCAAGATTTTGCATCCTTTGTATTACTTACATTACAGACATATTCATTACAGTCATTCTTGTCATTAAAACCAATATTTATACTTTTAACTTATAGGTTTTTAAACCTCATCAGGTCTGCAAAGACAGTAAATCTAAATTATAATCGTCCCTGCACTCTTCGACATATTTCCTGCTATTTTGATGTAAAAAAACACAACCATGACATTGTCCTGCAGGTAGACTAGGTACAATTTATTGGTACATTACCTCAGGGGCTACAAAGTTAGCTGTATAACATGGAGTCATTAGCAGACCGTTGTCTGCTCGAAGTTGTTTAGCAAAACCAAAGTCACAGATTCTCAAACTTTCTGGATCACCACTTGTATCTGCATACAATATATTGGAAGGCTTGAGATCACGATGTACAACCTGAAATCATTTAAATTATTATTATATTGTTATTTCTGGGGATATGACATGCCAAGATTTCACTAAAACTGTCCATTGTGACATAAAAACTTAATAGTGTAAATAGGCTTTTTCCAGTAGTTTTACAATGTAAAAACACAACATTTTGTCAAGAATATTTTAATACTGAACAAAACTATTTTTTTTTATATATTTTGAGCCTAGTCTATGTGCAAAAGGAATCAAGGGCATACAGGTTATAAAACAACTGTCTGCAACAAATAGTCCTTTTGAACTAACATGTAAGAATGACATTATGCTACAGTTAATTATGTAAGTGGTATAGAAATTAAAATAAATTTTAACAGACGTCTTTTGTCATATCTCTGCGGTTGATCCAACTAACTCCTGGATAACTAACCAGTAACTATTAATCCTACATAATTTCTGAATCCATGTTGAGTGATAAATGACCATTAGACTCATGTCCAAGATCAACTGTAATTGAGAAATTACGAACCAGTTAGATAGCTAATCTGATCACCCTACTGAGCTAAGTGGGAGGACTTTGAAATAAATGTATTAATTAATAATATTCCTATACAAGGAGACGAAACATCAATATAAAACATTACCCCATTTTGATGAAGATATTCGACAGTTTTTGTGACAACCTGTAAGACAGCACTCGCCTCACGTTCAGAGAAAAACCTCTGTAATAAAATCTTGTCAAGGAGTTCTTTTCCTTGTAACCATTCAGTTACCATATATACCTTGTTCCCATTGTCAAATACCTGCAAATATCAAATGAACTTTTCAACTATAATGCTTAAAAATAATCAATTCATCATACAGGAAATATAAATTTACCTAACTTGTAAGTAATTTTTATTATAAAATATTTATTTAAATGACCAGGAATTACTTCGCTACATTCATATGTTATGAAACATACAGACTAGGAAAGTGATCATTAATATAATGGTAAAAGCTTTATAAAGGCAAGAAAGATAAACTTAGATATGCTAAGCTTTTACTGTGTTACTATTTTATCATTATGTTTAAAAGGAACAACAAAAATAATATAAAACGGCATTATTTTCTAATAATTCTGTTATACATAAACTTTAGTGTTTTGTCTTTTTTTGTTTTCACTTAGATCCTTTACAAAAGAACATTTACATTAAATCAGATTTATATTTTAATGTACTTACATCTCGTAATGTGATTATGTTTGGGTGATGACCAAATCTCAATAAAATTTCAACTTCTTCTGATGGGTCAACTTTTTCTTTGTCCATTATCTGAAATATTAAGTTGGTCTTCAACTCTGGAGTTATAGATTAAAGAACAATAGATATTCTGTCTTGTTTTTTCCCATTAATCTTGCTACCTGAACTTACAACATTTTCTGAAATCATTTTAGGCATATTTTACAGCATTTTTATATATCTGATTTATATAGAAATGGAACCCTTTAACTCTATATGAAACAGATATTCCAAATGTTTACAAGTTAACCATTTAATCAATTATAATAAATTTCTAAATTTTCTGATACTACTTTTCAATTTTTGAATATTCACGAAGGAGTAGGGGAGGGGGTAAATATAACAATTTATCTTCACAGCAATTATCATATAAAAATGATAAGTAATATTCACCTTGACAGCATAGCTGTTTCCTGTTAACCTATGTACACATCTCTTACACACAGAGTATGAACCTATACCAATATCCTGTAATATAATATATATTATATAATAACACAATTATTGAATAGTGAGTCTTTGAATATGATTTGATTTTTACTGGCAGATGACATATTGGTAGATGACTTATTGACCAAGGTGATAGCCAATTACACTCCCCTGCTAGATTTTATGTCACACTGAAACTGTATGTTCATAAGGCAACTTTCCAGACATACAGGTGGACAAAAGTCTAAAGTGTCCCTTTAAGCAACATTTCAGGCCCATGCTGGCACAAGAGTAGAACCATGCACCTTCTATAAGCTAGAGAGATACTAAGATACAAAGAAATCAATAGACAGGGGTACCATAGACTTTTTTTTGCAATTGATCCATCTGACAATTAAATGTACTTGAAAATTTAAAATACCCTTTACATTCATCAAAATATACTGCATTCCATCAGAGTTGAGGGAAACACTGTAAAGAAGAGATCTTACCTCTTTTATATCATATTCATCTGTAAATGATGACACTTTTACACCAGGAAGCTGGAAAAATAGAAAATTCTTTATTAAATTTTTATCTCTGAGATTTAAGAAACTGACTTTATCCTGCTTTCAAACAGATTTGTCCACAACTATTTTCAAAAATCTGGATAAGGGGAGATCACTCCACAGCAACGATAAAAAAGTTTAAAAGTGATATTTGCAGACTGTTTGAATGTGACTGTTCAAGAGAGGTAATAGTAATTGCAACATCTCTTACTCCCCCTAGAACCAGCTTAAGCAGTATTCAATCTTCCAACACACTAAAGTATTGAAATCATTTATCTTGAAAAGTCCAGAACGATATAACAACATTGAAGTTATGTGACACTTGACACCTGCTGTTGTGAGTATATTAATCTGTAAATGGGTAGATCCAATGAAAGCAAGCTGACAGATGCCTCGTGCATTCACAAATCTTGTGTAGCTGATGATGTAGAGCTTAAGTTGAACTACAAACAGTAGGTTTAGTGGCCAGACTGACACACACACACACACACACTAAAATAGGTATACCCCACTAACAACATTTGTTGTGCGTATAACTTCAAGCTTTGTTTGTTTGTTTGTTTTGGGTTTTACGTCACATCAACACAGCATAGGTCATATCGCGACGTTCCAGCTTTACTGGTGGAGGAAGACCTCAGGTGCCCTTCCGTGCATTATTTCAGGCACCTGAGTAGAACCACCGACGTTCTGTAAGCTAGCTGGATAGCTTCCACACATGAAAGAATCCAAAGTCCCTATTGGGATTCGAACCCACAGCGGTTAGGGGCAAGGGGTTTGAAATAACTTCAAGCAATTGCAGGCCACCATAGTTATACTAGCTATGTAATTCTTGCTACTACCACTCAAAATGGAAGAATTTTATTTCTTACACTAAATACCTCAAAACATTAATTCTACACTAGGTCAGAATATCAGAAGTTCAAACAGAGCTTTTTATTGTTAACTACTGCAAAGAAATGTTTTCAACATGCTCTTTAAAACCTCCTATGTTTAGGACTATATTAAATGCTGAAAATATAGAAATTCAGCAAGAAAATTCAATAACTGAAAAATTACTTGGAAAAACTAATACTTTAAAAGTGCTGAGACATCACACTCCCTCGAGAACATTTTCTTTTCTCTCTCAACAGTTTGCCTGTCTATTATATTATTATAAGTATAATCAGAATGTTTTACAGTGTTATGCTGAATGCTAAAGCTTCATATTGTATTCTTGAGAAACAAATGTCACAAATATTTTTACATAGATTTTATTGTCTATAAAAGATGAATTTCAGCAAGAAACACTCCTCTTACAGACAGTTTTATTCAACAATCCCTCTTTTCTCTAGGGAATGTCAGGTGTTACTGTCTCCTAGCAACATCAGACTCATATTGTAACATGTCAGACACTTTCATTTTCTTCTTGCAAAAATTCAGCTTTATCTGTTTTACCAGGTAATTTCCAATCTTTTCTTAGACCACAACAACAAAACATTTTATGGTTTTACATCAATAATTCTTGATCATTACTCTCTTTTTTTCCTTAACATCTTTTAACAAAACCAAACTCATTTTTCAATCAATAACTTTTGTGACATTTTGTTTCAAGAAGAAAAGAAAGTATTTCCTTTTTATATTTCATGACCTACATAATATTAATCTAAAATGGTATTGCACTGAGTATACGTAAGGAAAGAAGGTTTTGGGAAGAAATTGTGAATTAATCATTACCACATTAATCATTTTATACTGGCTTGCCTATCTCTCTCAAACTCAACAAAATCATTAAGAATTTTTCAGGGTTTTTTCTTTTTAAATATTCACTCATTGTTATAGCACACAGAGCAAACAATGATCAGACGGCACAGATGTGCATGCTGATTTTGGTCTCCACTGGCTGCATGGGTAGATTTCGTCTATTACTGGTAGAATGCTAAGCGTTAAAATGTCAAAATTTCCTTAATTATGAAAGGTTCACAAGTCTGAGCAAACAAATATCATTACTGTATCTAGCAAGTTTTTAACTTTCATTTATTTCATGCTTTCCAGTGTTTTATTGTAATATATCAGATGATTATATTCTGATAAACCACTAGTGAAATTTATAAAATATAATTTTCACTGTAGCCGGACTATATCTGGATGCGGATGAAAAGAAAATTATAACGAAATGGAATAACAGGCAGAAATAAATGCTGTCATGCGTAAATTTTGCTTCTTTAGGAAAAGAAAGTCGATGTAATCATACATCATGTTATAAAATTTATCACAGTTAGACAAAATTTATCAGAACTATATTTCAAAATTAATGATGTGACGTCATGATGTGATGACGTCACAAAGGAGAATGCGCGACGTTACGCGGAAAAATCAGTAAAAAATACTTAAAATCACTTAAAAAGCATGAAATAAAAAGAAAATTTATTTGTTTTACATATAAGATTGAAATATATTTCATTCGTGAACACCAGCTATTATATTTTCACTCGTGGCTATGCCACTCGTGAAAATATTGCATCTGGTGTTCACTCAGTGAAATTATATTTCAATCTTACATGCAAAACAAACAAATATCCTCTATATAAAACATTGATGAAATTTTAATAGATCATATGAACTATGACAAAGATGGTGTGGCTTGTCTCCCTGTCTGTACATTACATTTACCAGTATCAGATAACTCTTTCTCAAACTTCAATGTGTAGGATAAACACAGATCTCGAGACTTTTCTTCGAGGCTTATCTGAATATATATATTTATTCCAAATAAAGGTGACTATAATAATTATAAAGGGAAGTGATGTGGATTTGAGGTAATTGTCAGGAAATAAGGTTGTGTAGATTACCTCTCCAGTAACTGGTCTAGTATACTGTAATACAGAGTCTACAGACAAACATTTTCAAGTCTTTATCTCAAATTAATATTTATACTGATAGAATATTTCGTAGATATCTACTTATTCATCAAACTGACACTTGCAGTCTGCTGATACAATATAAGTATTTATCTAAAGAATTATTCTAATCTTGTTCAGATGAGCTGGTCACAACATGCATTCATCAAATTTTCATATTTCAAAATAATTTTCATGAAAAAACACTTTCATATGACCACCTTGTATACAACTATTGTATATGTATATGAGAAATAGAACATATGAAATAGCTGTTTAAATACATATGAATGTGTCCACAGAATAAAATATTTTAAATATCCTCTTTTCACAGTCTTAATGCTCGTCTGTTTAAAACCAAGAAATTTGCCCCTTGTCTAACAACTACACCTTATCATGATAAGCAAGTATTCCAAGTTTCATGTTGATAACTTTTAAAATGATTGAATCATGGGCTACAATAAGGTTTTTCACGATGATAATGATGACAATGCAGCAATCATTATAGCTCAACTTTTTCTCCCGGACAGTGGAGCTAAGAATGTCAGTATCTTACAAATATCTCATACAGGATGGTGTCTAGATTATACTTGTTATACTTACATTTCTGACTTTAGCAGTACTGAGTTGATTATCTAGTGGGTTGGGAGGCTGTGGATTGCCATCTAGCAAGGCAGGCGCTACAAAACTAAATCCACGGAATAATTCATGAGCTGTAGCACTGGGAGGTATACCTGGGGAATCTGTAAATAAGTTGATCATTAGTGAATATGTTTAATATTTCGATGAAAAATTTATTTATCTAATCACCTTTCAGTCAACAGTACAAGTTAGATAGGAAATTAACCTTTTTTACTTTGATCACCAACATATACATTTACACACATGAAAAATATACAACTTTTCTGTTTATCTAATATACTAGTTTATCTTGTAACAATGAGTGGTATATACAGTCAGTGATATATAAATCATATCTAAATTATAAACTATACCTTTCACTGAAATGTCTAGAAAAATTGCTTTTACCATGTTATTTTAAATAATATCATATTGTTTCTAGTAATGATATAACAAAATGTAATGTCTGTAAATGGTAATATAGAGATTAATTTTCAACAAAATATGCAAGTTTTAAAGAAAGAAAACTGTGACTGTTTGAAACTCGTATATAATAGACAATAAATTTACAAACACAGATTTCTTGGAACTTTATTCATGAATCATAAAACAATAAATCTATCCTTAACTTTTATCCTACGGCAAATGAATATACCATGCAACCAATGCAGACCATGACAAGCCAAGGCAATTGTGTTGTCTGATCATGGTCTGCAGTGTTCACTATTCAAGTAGTATTTTTTTTGACATTTCCCCTGAAAATGATAAATGGTTAAGTCCAGACTTAAAGGTCGGCAAGTCCATTTAAGAAATTAACATTGTAAGGCTTAATGGGATATATACCTTTGGGTGTTTTGGATGTAAATTCTGGATCAAAGTAGAAAGCATCATCTGTCTGTACAACAGCTGGTTTGAAAGGTGGATTCACCTCACGTCTCATCAACTTTTCCCAGTCAATTGTTGAAAAAAATGCATGTCGCTTAAGTTCTTCTATACCACTATTACTGGATCCTACAATAATGATCAACCCTATCTTATTAAAATGTAATAACTGATAATACATACCCTGGGAATGACTACTAAATTGTACACTGCAGAACCCAATTAAAACCCAATGTTATATGTTATAATAATACACTATTACACCCCAGTCTAACAACAGTATAGATATTTTTCTTTCACAAATTTTATCATTTATTTTATTCATAATCAAAAATATCTTATAACATCAGTTCCTGTTTTATTTAAGTGATTTAAAAACACCTTTTCCTACTTCAATTGGTGTTTATTGTTTGAACATAAACAACAGACAATAGAGATAAGTGGGTCGGGTAATGCCACCTGTCAACAATCAGATCGTGAGATGAAAGTTTATACTGGGGTATGAGACAATCAATACATATAGAACAAATCTTTCACATTAGTTGAATCAGTTTGGTTTCCATAATCATCCAACTTTTGGAGGTAGATCCATGGTGACGACTCAGTCTTAACTTTTAACTTATCTGATTTGCTTTCTATGCCAAAAAAACAAATTATGGAAATAAGATGTTGCTACAACAATTATGCTCTAAACAAAGTAAAGATTACCTAATCTGTTTTGTGGATTGCGTTTGAATAATGCCCGTAACAAACTCTGTGCCTCAGGGCTGAGGAAGCCTGGCATTCCTAATTTGGCTCTGAAAACACAAGTTACCAATATATTAAGATTAAAACTTTACATAACTTTATGTATTTCTTCAACTTTTTTTGTTCATAATACCTCTAAAGGATAACACTAGTTAAGTTTAAATCAAAGTCTGCTCTCTGTAATTAGTAGATGTCAGTTAAGGATCAAATCTACAGCTATCTTGTTCAGTAGGAGACATTGTCTTCATGAGAAAATCTAATTTCATTTCAACTTTTTTTCCCCTTACTATCAAATAAGCTATATGCTAATATATTATTGATAAGAGTCGGTATATCATAAGTTGTTTATGAGGATGTTGAATGACATACTTTAGAATCTGTGTCATTGTTTCCTTTCTGTTTGCTCCCTGGAATGGCAATGCACCTGTCAACATCTCAAACTGTAAAACAACATATCAATACATGTTTTATATATCTTACAATGCTGTCTTATACTACTTTATGTATATGACACTTGAACCAATTGAACTTGTCTGTATAATATTCTATACATTTAAGTATATATGACAGATACACACTTGGAATTTCACTTACATCTTTGTCATGTACATGGAACAACGATATACAATAAGACCTACATGATGCTCAACCTATTTAAAGAAATACTCTGTATATCAATTAATAACACACTGAAGCATCCAATATAATCACCTTTTACTGCACAAGTGTGTGCATCTGATCATTTGCATGTAACATCAATGACAAAAGCCTTTAACAGAAGTATTCATATGAATTCTACTTAACAGCACAAGAAGATTCATTTGAAAACAAATTTAACTCATTAAACCATAACAATAATAGGTCACATCTTGCCTTTCCTCAATGTAATCTGGATATCGACCAATAGACCAAAACAGGTTATAAAACATGTACAATTCAATGTTCAATAACCTATTAGAAATCACGCCAATGATATAATAAATGAGGCATCATTTAAAGTGGGCTGTTAATCCTAGACATGTTTTGCCTTTGCCCATTATTACACAAATCAACTATTATCAACAAAACAATAATCACATGTCTAGACAACATAAACATTTATAGTGTAAACATTCAATGTAAATAATTGGACTGATCGATTATTAATTTCCTTTTTCTCATTTAGATTAATGAGTCAAATAAAAAGAACAAGAGAATGGCCACAGATATAGATGAATAATTTTTGACGATATTTGTATGCCTGGTTTTGAGAAGGACTAATGACCTGTTAATAGTTGTAAATTGCATTCATTATCTACAGTCACTGGTGATCGATAAACAAATATTTTGCATTATTAGGAAAGCTATGTATCTAAAATAGTCATAGCAATAGCCTGAAATGCTGATATTCTTTGCATACTTTTGCTTTTAACTAAGAGAAATACATACAATCAACATAATAAATTTAAACATTGTTTCAATTTTCAAATAATAGCATTTTCATATATTTTTTTAGACATTTTATGAAATCAGGCAAAACAAACACAAGTGCGTTTGCGACCAGCATGGATCCAGACCAGCCTGCACGTCTACCAACTCTATTACAAGTAGAGAAACTGATAGCGAACAGCATGGATCCTGATCAGACTGCGCGGATGTGCAGGCTGGTCTGGATCCATGCTGGTTGCAAACGCACTATGTTGGTTTTGTCATGGCGCGGCTTTTATATATAATATTTACCATGAGAACACCATATGACCACCAATCAGCTGCTGTCCCGTGCCCTTTTCTGTTGACAACCTCAGGTGCCATGTACTCAACGGTACCACAGAAAGAATATGTCTTCTTGTCTTGAAACAATGACTCCTTACTTAGACCAAAATCTGTCAGTTTAATATGTCCATCAGAGTCTAGAAGTATGCTGAAAGGTAAGCAAAGAAAGTTTAACATTATTTTTTTCATATAAAATAAACATTAACAGAAGCAACGCAGTTTGTTGTACCCATATGAAATTGTGCATATGACTTTACCAAAGAAGACTCTTGAAGAGTGTCTAGAGACACTAGCCATCTATATAAATAATTATAAGCATTTAATCCAAATATCTGCTACAACTAATAAAGTTACATGTTTATTAGTTATTACAATATTTGACATGCTACTTATTACAGCTACTTATTACAAATTGTAGTATGCTTACATAACCTGAGCCACTAAGTGGAATCATATTACAAACAACTGGCAAATTTTTTTATTACAAATTTATGTAGCTCAACCATTGTTGCCTTTGATTAAAATAACAAGAGCTGTCCAAAAAGCAGCACATTTCATTTGTCTCAGTGCTTATTTTCTAAATGGAGAGATAATTTGAAAGATAATGTTTGATGTAATGACTTATTATAACTTTGCTGTTACAAATCACAAGGACCATGAACTTTGACCCAAAATCAAAGTGCATTTACATACAAAGTTAAAGCTCTTTAAACTTTCTTTGATCTAAGTGACCTTGACCTTTGACCATTTCACACAAAAAATGGATAATGGGTTATATAGGTAAAACTTATCAACTGGCATTTATATATATTTACAAGTTTCAATGTACCAGCTCTTTTTAAGTATTTAAATTAATGTTCATACCCACAAAAACTGATCCTATGCTGACCCTGCCAAATGGGTCATGACAATGGCTTCACAATTTCTAAGTTAATAAAATTTGATGCAGCAGTGTATTTTAAAAATTGATAAGTGCTTACTTTTCTGGTTTCAGATCTCTATAAACAATGCCCACTCTGTGTAGATGATCCAAGGCCAGGGCCAGCTCAGCCAGGTAAAACTTGACATCCTCCTCTGTGAACATCACCTATAACACAATACACAGAAATACATAAATAAACACTGGTTTCAATTTTATATATGACTTTTTCCGCATTTATTTCAGCCAATGTCTGAGATTATTAAGGTGTATTGTGAGGAAGACACTCTATGCTTTGAACAATAGCTAAACAGATAGTAATATTAAAACTTTTAGGCGTATACAAAACTCGATTCATTTTACTTGTGATCCAGGAGACAAGAATTTTTTTATATTTTATTATTGATTCCAATACACTTTACTGTTTTCACTCTCATTACCATAAAGTTTATTCAAACAATTGCTATATATATTCTTTTGAAAAGATCACACAATTTTTAAAAGGATTCACACAATTCTTGGAAGAATTCATACTATCAGACAACTTTTGAGACGTTTTCAGTGTACATTTTGTAGGCAAATAATAATTTTCAACCATCAAAATATTACAAGTTAATCAGATAAAGCATCTCCTTTCATCATTATATTCTAAACATTTGTCAAACTTCAACATTCTTGTACAATGCTACACAGTTTCAGTGTTGTAATGTATAATTATTCTATTCACTTAGCAGTCAATGATCCAGTGAACATTCTTGAGAACACACTAGGGAAGAAATTTTAGGAAAATTAAGTTAATTACAGTTTCATTATGACAGTTTCATTATGTTCCAAATGTTCCGTTAAAAATAGCAACATGATCAAGTTTGCTGAAAGGGGTGCACGGCAGTCCAAATTGCAAAAATGCACAATCTGTTAAAGCTAAGACTATTTTGTCTTTATAAAGTGAGCATTAAATATATAGCTATTTTCATGCATCACTAAGTTTTCTATGCCTAAACATGTCTTAATCTAGTAAACTGTAAATAACAATCTCAACGTTTTTAAATTTTGTAGATGAAGCATTTAACTGAAAGATAATGTAAAAAATCTGAAAAATGTTATTCTAATTCTACAGTAATCAAAACCATTATAAATATGTTGTTATCATAGTATATAACTAACAGTATGCATATTACTAACTTATATTTTACAGATTTCACATTTTAGTATTTGATACATATAAACAATGTTTTATATTGTGTGATACATATATCATACATTGAAATATAAACAACATATAAAACCTGTTACAGTATAATACTGGTACTCAACAAAACTGGTTTATAAAATGACTTCACTTGAGAATTTGGTGTTCAGGTGAAAAACACAAGCACAATAAAGCTAGTCTACATAACAACCCTACAATAACATCATTGTTTGTTTGTTTTCCCATTATTGTCAAATTTCTTTTATTTTATTTTCTTGAAAGGTGGGGGAGGGGTGGTCATAAACATGCACTTTTTGTCATGCCAGATAACTTCTTTCTGGGTGGTGAAACCAGCAATGAACCCACTGGTAATATTGAAAGTCAAGAGAAAATCACACCTCTGGTGGGATTCTAACTAATAGACTTTGAATAAGAAGTCTGATTTTCTCCCTTAACTCCACTCTTGCCACCATATTTTGTTGAAGAGATGATCCCTTCACAATTTATATAATATTCTATTATCATTTTCTTGCAAAATTAAACTTATATCATCTTGTTCTGCTTTGAATGTGGAACTATTCAATGTTATCTTGACTTGTCCATCTTTCATCAGGAAATTACCATTCAACACATTTAGGGGAAATTTTTTGTTTTGATTGAGTTTTACGTCACGCCGATACAGTATAGGTCATTTGGCGGCGTTCCAGCTTAACTGGTGGAGGAAGACCTCAGGTGCCCTTCCGTGCATTATTTCAGGCACGAAAGGGCACCTGAGTAGAACCACCGACGTTCCGTAAGCTAGCTGGATAGCTTCCACACATGAAAGAATCAAAGTCCCTGTCGGGATTCGAACCAACAGCGGTGAGAGGCAAGTGGTTTGAAGTCAACGACCTTAACCACTCGGCCACGGACGCCCCTTAGGGGAAATTAAAATCTAAGTACCGACAGAATAGCGAAAAGTACAGACCATGATCAGACAGATGTGCGGGCTCTTATTGGTCTGCACTGGTTGTTGTTGCCACAATCGGTCTAATCATTAAATATTTCAAGTTAATTAACTGCAAATACTTAAGCAGGACAGTAAAACACAGATGTGAAATACATGGGAGGGGGGTGACACAAGTACTTGGTGACGGGTAAAAACAGCTTCAATGCTTGAAGTGCAAAAATAATTCTGAAGCTCAAAATGCAAACTGTTGGCAATAAACTTATTTCTATGTAATGATACCATCTATATATATTTTTTTAAAAATGGGACAACTGACAAAGAATTACGATCAAATTAAAACTACCATAAGAAAGTGAAAGTAAAATTAATAATTAATTAATAATCTCCTTTCTTTCTAATATCATGCTTGCATCATTTCATTTTATGAACATGTAATTATGTACAGACAATTACTATACAAACATATTACAATACTGTACTTCGCGATATTTTCATGTTGGCAAATTTTCACAGTTTATACCTAAAATGTATTTTCACGAGTAACAGCATTGGCTATTTTGTTATTTTATCAGAAAACTAACAATATAACTGCCATGTTTGAAGAGTAACAAAGGGAGGCTACATGTGATTCTGAATTGCAAACATGTGACTAAACTACATTTATATAATTATATTAAACATTAAATAACATTGTAATGTCTCTCAATTTTAAACATCAAAAATAAACAGTCAATTATCTCCAGCAATTGTTTTTGTTATTAAAAACTCAAACTTGAAATTTACCAGTTTGTAAATAGAGCTAAAATGAACAGTATTTAACACAATAAAGTAAAACGGAAGGTATCAAGTATGTGTGTATTTTGCCCAATCTGTTTTTATCTGTCTTAGTACTCTCTTAGTACTTAGTATATTTTCTTACTCAGGCAATGTTTTCGTTTAAGTAGACTACAAAGCACAAATATAACTGAATTATAAAAATACTGTACAGTATATTTACCTTCAATATGAACACAAATAACTTTGAAACACAAAAATGGTAAACAAATATTACAAACATTGAGAAACTCAAATGCATAACTGAGCAAGGAAGGTTTACACAGCAGCTATGTTTACACACTGGCATGTAACACAGATGCTATGTGTAATAAAAAAAATATGGCATATAACATATCTAAGGAACTGAAATAATAGAAACCAAACTGTAGCATGCTTTATATATACTACCTGTGGCATATATCCATCAATTTGAAGCTGATTAAAAAGTAAACAGCAAGTTTGTGCTCAGTCTGAATGTTTCTTAGTTATTGAGGTTACAGATATAAACAAATCTAGGGAAGATATACAGATAAATTATTCAAAGAACAAGTCCAATGTTACAGATTTCTAGATAAGTAATTCAATATGAACAAAAGATTAACTTAAGTTATATTAACCACAACATTGCAGGAAAATATGCCTATTTCACAACACAGTCCGAAAAGTTTTACAAAGGCTCACTAGTCAGCATGAAAGTTTGATCAAGTTTCAAACTTTATCACAATTCTTTTACTTACCCTTATATGTTTTTCTACTATAAACTTCTGGGGAAAAAAAGAGACATTACCAAAACCAAGAAAAACCAAATTCCCCACATGTGATCCTCAAGAACTTTAATTTGTTTGCCGTTATTTTGAAACCATTTTTATTGTATACTCATAATACTGGGATCCTTCATATTTACTGGACAATCATCTTACCTTACAAAATTTATTCCTGTTAAATAGGTACTTAATTTTTTTTTTAATTCCAAGGTCATCCCGGTTGAATCACAGAGAACCTTTCTGTTTTCAAGTGGTTATAACATTATTTTAGCAGACAATATTCTGTGATAATTGTTATTTTATAATTTTGAGTTTTGATTTAAAGAAACCAAAAAAAACAGAAACAAAAAAACAACAACCGAATAACAAAAATGTTAACTGTTAATGATTTATAAAGACTCTTCGTAAAAAGCATGGTTGTCAATATTCCATTTTTAGTGACCACTTTGGTTTTTCCAGTATCATAACCTTACAATTTATCAGTTTAATTTAAATTCACAACTTTAAAATATTATGAGTAAATGAGTTGTCTATGTCTTTTTTGCTCTTATTATTATAATGACCTACTTTGAAGCTGCTTTTAATGGTCAAAATGTTAAATTCCATATTTGATAAGGCTACGTTTACATGAATTAAGAAAAAAATCAATGTTTTTTCATCATTTTAAATAAATGTTACAGCCAAAAAAATCATATTTTGTCCAGTAATATGAAGGATCCAAGTATACTTTTCAAAATAATTAGAAACAGACACTTAAACATTTGTAATTTATGTCTTTTGTTTTGTTAACTATACAAGACTTAAACCTGATTGACTAAATGTGTACCATACTTTTTTTCATATCAACTGATGCATTTAGGCTTATTTCCACTGGCTTAAAGCCTTCAGATTCATGTTAATTTTCATGAAAATTTTGAAAATGTATTTGAATGTGTTTTATTGTGAAGTAACCAAAAGGAAGCAATTTACACATTATCAATGGTACTTACAAACCGCGTAAATTACCAAAAAATGGTCAAAATATGCATAAATAACCTTTAGTAAAGCATAAGAAATATAATTGTAAATACTGAAAAATCAGTCATTAATTGCACATAATATGTAAAATATTACTTAAATCTTGAAACTAATTTTTCCTGACATCTTAGTACATTTTTCTCAAGTTTGATTTTATTGAAATATTTTGACTTATCTGGAGGCATGTAGCTATAATGCAAGACCAGCCTGCAAATCTGTGAAGTATGCTCAGACTCTTTAATGCTGATTGATAAATTTCAAATTTTCATTTTGATATCCCCAAAAAATGATAATGAACAGTTCTACGACACGTCCATTTCAAATAATTAAGCGGAGTAAGTGATAAAACTCTGACTAGCTTTTACAACATTGTTTGCAAATTGTAGAGGCTAAAATTTAAATGAACCTGTATACCATCAAACATCAATATTGTTGATCAACACTTGAAAAGTTCATAACAAAAATTGATCAACATTTGTAAAACTGAAAGAGTTAGTATATTTCAATATATAAACATCATCCTCTGTGGACCTGTATTTAGGTGCATGTGTTTTAAGACCAAACAACCAAATTCTCAATCAAGATATTACAGACATCGGAAACAATTTTCCCATAATTTCTTTTTCATGCTTTCTAACATGAAAACATATTTTTGCCATTTAAAATGACTGACAAAGAAAATATAAAGAAAATGAAGCACTTACCTCCTTTGAAAGTCTTGTAAACAAATCTCCGCCTCTAAGAAACTCTAGAATCAAGTACAGCTTGCCCTCTGTTTGAAATGCTGAAAATATGACAATCTTTTCAATTACTTTTACCAAATTATCAGATTTACTCTATGGCACTTGAAAAATTGGGTAAAAATATCTTAAAGCAATTTAACTTCAAAATTAGGCTACATTATAATTATTCTTGGGAAAAAATATATGAATGTATGAACAACAATTTTTCATTTTATCCAGAGTGCCTTGATTTTGATGAAACAGTACAAGTAATTGGCCTACAGAATTTTTCCATTGCAAAAATGTAAAAAGAATACCACATGTCATCACTCAACGCTCTAAGTTTAAAAAGGGCAAAACTCCAAAAATATTGCTTTCAGATTTACGCTCCTTGTTTAACAACTGCACCTTTTCGCCATACGCAAGTCTAAGTTTCATACTGATAACTTTTAAAATGTTTGAATAACGGACTACATTAAAGTTCTTGCATGATAACTACAGTGACAACAATGATAACCGCACAGAGAGATCATTATAGCTTGACTCTTTCTTCCACACAGCCTAGCTATAACTGACAATAATTGAATTTATCGGAAGAATTCCATCTATAATGTAACAGTTCCTACCCTGTGATCTGTATTTATTTAATTTCATATCTTATTTTTTTTTTGCAAGCTGTTAATAAAGGGCCTAATATTTACCATAATGTAGTTTGACAATATATGGATGGTTAATATCTGCCAAGATATCTCTCTCCATTTTGGTTCTCTGTCGGTCACGCACTGAAAATATAGTACAATTTTCTATCACTTGCACAAGACCAAAACATAACTTCACTAAAATTGTTTTATTATAATATACTAGTAACATAACTGTAATAAAAGAAGCCAAAATGCAATCCAGCAATTCCACTTGGGGTTAATGTTTTAAGTCAAACTAATTAACAATGTCAAGGTGACTGGTCATAAGACTAGAATCAAGTTAATTTGTTTGATAAAAACCTTTGGGCCCATTTACTAATATATATTATAGGGCTCCTGTTTATATTAGCTTGGAGTCATTTACTCCTTGATTTTGCCTATTGACTTTCAAAATATAATGTTTTTCCTTTCTCAGTCTCTGACTTCCAAATTTTGATACTAAATGGAAGCCCTGATTAGTTTGTACAGGAGTATGCATCAGTGTAGAATCACATAATTTCCAATAACAAAGAGATGTATGAAATCTTTCTAAAACTTGACTGGATCACTTTTGTCTTAAAATATAAAGAATATTTATGATATACAAAAGTTATTGGATAATTTCTTAAACCTACAAAGATATGATAATTATTAAACAGTATTTTAAATACTACCTTTAAGTGTTGCTTTCTTTAAAACTTTCATTGCAAACAATGTACCGGCATCTTTCCCTGTCACTTTTCTAACCAAGAATACCTAGAAAGAAATGCATTAATGAATTTTAATGCATAATTTCTAATTTATAATTACATACTTAATTTCTTCAAAATTGTCTTATTTATATTTAACTTTACATATTTTGAGAATTTTAAAACTATTTCATAATCTAAATCATTTCCTTTTTTAACCTGAATTGACAGCTGTTTGTAAATATTATATCTGCATATAACTGTATTCTTCTTCAATAACAATGCATGAACTAGGAATACATGTATGTTGGAATTTTGTAATGAACTTCTAGCAGTTTTTTAAGACCCTAAAACAAGGTTAGTCCTTATACTTTAAAGATTTCAATTTCTTTTAAATCAGCTGGAAAATTTTGCATATTGGCAATAGACCAATATATCACAGTATTAATCCAGGGCATCATGTAAAAACACTTTTAAACAAACCTTTCCAAATGATCCCTGTCCAAGAACTTTGAGCAATTCAAAATTTGATGGGTCCACTCTTTCACCATCTTTACCAACAGTCTCACTTCCTATCTCAATCTCTTTATCCATATCATCCTCATTCTTTGTGGAAAAAAAGACGAAAAAATCATTGAATGATTCTTTATACAAAACTTTGTATTAACCCTATAAACAGTCATTACAGTAAAAACAAGCTTCTAGTAACTTTTTTTTAACATTATCATTACATGTACTTGATTGTAATTGTAATCAGGTATGAGCCATTTTCTGCAGTTTTTAACAAGTTAAGTTGTACTTTATAACAATCACATTTATAAAACTTTACAGTGCCATTTTGTTCTGTAAAAGCATAATTTTCTAATTCATATGAAATCTTAGTGTTTTTTTTTTTTGGTTGTATATACATGAAGTTTCTATTTGTAACATTAATGGCAATGGGCAATGCCCCTTTGAAGTTTTAAACAAGAGGATCGCTCAACTGAGAAATAAGTCAAAAGGTCAGAGTGGAGACCCTTTTCACCCAGAAGCACAATTTGAAAACAAGGGACAGCTTAATCTGAAACATTTTTGAACACTGTCACCAAGGAAATTTTTGTGTAAAATTATTTCAAAACTGAACCAGTGGTTTAGATGTTGTTGTTTCCTAATTTTAACTGTAACAGCCATTATATCAAACAGTTCAGTCTGTCACTAAGTGAGAGGTGAGCTAATAAAAAGATGACATAAAAAGAGAAGGAAAACAATGGTTGACCTGGCTGGGGATTGAACTATTGACCTCGATCCCCTGGGGCGAGGCCAATTTTGACCCAAGGGCTTTCATTTGAACAAACTTGGTAGACATACACTAGAAGTTGTTTCATGCCAAATATCTAATTTATTGTGCTTTTGGATTGTCACTATATACATATAAGGAATTTCAATGACCCCCCTGGGGTTTTAATTTGAACAAACTTGGTAGACATCTATTAGAAGATGTCTCATGCCAAATATCTAAGCTCTACCTCTTTTGGATTTTCACAAGAAGATTTTTCAAGTTTTTACTATATACATAGTTACAAGGAAAATCAATGAAGCTGGGTTGGGACCAATTTTGACTCTAGGGCTCTTATTTGAACCAACTTGGTAGACAACAATTAGGAGATGTTTCATGCCAAAAATCTAAGGTCTATCTCTTTTGGATTTTCACAAGAATTTTGTTAGATTTTGGCCAAGTGGTTTAAGAGGAGAATTTGATTTAAGAAATTTTTGATGCACGGACAGACAATGGACGACAGACAATTTGATGAGCCATCACAAAAGCTCACCTTGAGGACATTGTCCTCAGGTGAGCTAATATACACACAAAAAACAACAGTGGAATCCCTTTTATTAACTTAGAGACAATAATCTCACCTGGTCTTCAACAAGCATGTCCTCTTGAGAACCCTACAAAAATTAAACAACAAACATTTTCATTACAAATATATTAATATGCGAATTAATATGTTATGCATATCCACTGGAAATTCTCTCAATCCATAAAAAAGATGAACATATTTTAACAATTAAATAAGGTGATTTCCTGAGATTGTTCTTTAATATAAAAAATCTGTATCATAGCCCTCAGGACTCCAAAAACTGAAAAACCCTACCAAGTAACCTGTATTTCACTTGGTTTAATTGAAGGAAAACTTTTGCAACCAAGGATGGAGTATCTCTTTCAAATTTAAAATGTTTACTGGTTGGAGAGATAACTCCGACACTAAATCACATATTTTTTGCAATATTTTAATTATCTTCCAGTATATTTTAAATATTGAACCACCTAAACAAAGTTCAGTTCAAAGACTTTACATTACACCACAAAAACTATGTATGAAAATGGAATCTGGTACTTCTTTAAGGTCTTGAATGAGGTATACAAAACATGGTCTTTTTACCCCACAACAGTAGATAAAGTCGACACTTAAATTTTTAAGTAAAAAATGACTGGAAAATCAGCATCAATAATTTATTTTTACATCTTATATGGTTTATCTATTTTTTGTAAATATTTAAACAATTTTTCAAAAATCTTTCCCAAGTCAGTGGCCTGTGGTCAATACATTTCTAACTACCTTACTGTAATTTAGTAAAAAGAACATTTTGAAGCAGTTTTTGCCTACAAAAAGTTTAGGTTATTTGAAAAACATTAAAAAGTCTACCAAATTATAACAAATCATCACATTCTGTCCTGTTCCTATACTGTTAGGTGAGCATGTGCTTATTTGTTGAAAAACAAAGCTAAAACAATTATATTTATCAAGTGTCGGGGTTATCTATGCGTCGGAGTTATCTCTCCAACCAGTATAACTGATAAAGGAAAAAACATGAACACCATGTCATTATGGATTTTAAAGCTGTAGGCAATGACATGAGGAAACAAATCAAATCAATTTATATCAATTAAGTTTTCAATTTTAAAACAGAGCATTCTACAAATTTTATTATCTCATTTATAAATTAGGTAAAAATGAACTTGAAGTTGAAAACAAATTTCCAACGATTTGACTGTGGCAGTCATCAACGAAATTATTGCTGTAAAAAGATGAGAAGTAACTCTACACAAACATTTTTACATGAAACAGTGAATATTAGTCAGTCAAGTTCACAATGACACGCCAAAATAATTTTAATAATAAATGACGGCCGAAAATGAAAAAAATAAAATTTCTGGGTATGTCGGCAAAAATATTACTCGACCTCCGGATCATTAGAAACGTCCATGGGCCCCCATGGGTCTGCGAATTGTGCCAAAGGCATGTTTCTGTCTGTTAGAATATATAAAGACAACTGTTAAGCAATATTTCTAGTTCTTGAACTGTTTTAATGGCAAAATTCTTTTCACTTGTCGTCAGTCCCCGACAAGATGGCGAATTTTCGCCAAAACGAGGCTTTATAAACTTCCGGTAATCATAATTTTTGCGCGGGAAATACAAATCAGAGATTTACAGTAGACCAGTGTTCAGTGGCGTTGGATGATGGGGAATTCACTCATATTTTTGAGAATTCCCCAGGCATGTGGGGGGAGGGGATTTACATATATAAAAAGGAAAAAGATCAACAAATGTAATAAATTCTCATATTTCGATAAAAATCCCTTTCGATGATTTACTGAGCTCGCACATGATGGGATTTTCTTTAGCTTTTCGCCTATTCAATATCTTTAAGCCCTGATCGAATTTGCACTAATTAAATGTTTATTAAAAGCAGAGACATTACTGGTTGGGGACCATCAACCGGACACTACATCTACATCTATATGAACATCTTCCGTATAGCTGAAAATTTGACATAGTACAGCTAGGTTCTTCTCGATCATAACCACGGATTTATATTACATAATGTAAATCCGTGTCATAACTAACAAACTAGATCTAGTTTTTTCTTATTTCTGATAATCTTGACACTTATATCTGAGACACGTCCTAAATTGTCCACATTACAGTACCATGTAGTGCTATGTTCCTAAAATGTATAAATAAAAATAACTAAATAAATGTGTCTGGACAGATCTATGTAAATAATGTTGATTTAATCCAGATTAGGGGTAGATACTGCAGCAAATACTGAAGTTTTGGATATTCTATTGTTTATTCTGCAAATGATTATTAAAGCTAGCTAGTACGAGTATATATAACAGGTCAGGTATTGCATTTTTGACGTCCAAATTTTCAATGTCAAGGTTTTTGAAACACGGTGCATTAATTATATCGTTCCGGGCTGATTTGGAATATTTTCCCGTTCCTGAACTGATTTGGATTTATTGGCACCGGTTGATTCAAATAAAATGGATTTTTAGCTTGACAAGGTAAGAATATATATAAAATAAACACATTTACATCTTGATTTATAAATGTCTTTAAATATTCTATTGCACGGAACATTGCAATGTTTAAGGAATTCATATATACAACTTAATAAGGGTTGTTAACGGTCTTTTACGAGTTGGAATCGAAAAACAAATTTCACATGTCAGTGGAGTAGTAGCAAACACTTGCATAAAATTGTCAAAAAAAGTCATTATTATCTATGGTTTTCCAGGTATTTCGTGATCATTTATAGAAAAAAAACCATTCCGCGATAATATAATGATTTTAGTAAAATGTTTTGTCCAGTAATTAATGAATCTGTCGTACGTATTTTTATGACAACCCTGTAAACTTTTTACTTTTTCAGCCCGGAACGATTATGCACCGTGTGAAATATACATTAAACATAAACATTTATGGAAGTTGTAATAATTAATTACTTAATTTTAGAAGAAAGATGTATTTATTGTTGATAAAAATGCAAAGGATTGACCGACAACCACTTTCCAAAGAAAAAAAAACTAAAACAGGCAATGTATGGGCCGTACGGGTTTGATGATTGTACGGTGGTGAACCAGTAGAGGTTAAGGATATTTTTCTTGGTAATTAACAAAGAATTTTGAAGCACAGAATGTAAATGTACAATGTCACTTTGCTCAGCTAACTGATTCCATTTTAATTAAGGTTAATAGATCAAGTGTAATTGTTTTGAACAACTCTTGTAAAAATATCAATTCGTTGCAGTATTATCATTTTTGACTATTTACATGTAGGCCTAACTATTTAATACCAATATTTGAGGTATACAATGCTCCCATGTACAGAGCACTTTAAAATACATTTAGATTCTTAAATTAATAGGTGTTGAAAGAGGGTGCCGATAAGTCATTAGTCATGCAGATCTACATTTGAAAATATTCAACAATGACCTCCCTTCTTTCGTTATTTGATAAAATGGCGTTTTAAAACAATGTCAAATTCAGCAATCCACTAGATATGCAGAAGATTTGTTACTAATATAAACTACATGTATTTCAAAAGGTTTACAGACATGTACTACAGGCCTATGAATAAGTTATAAATAAAAATCTGACAGTGAAAATTAATGCCATTACTATTTGTAAAAGTGGTAGATTATCGAAAGACAAATATTTTATAGAGGTGTTGAAATTAAACATGTTACAACTTACCATTATCTTAGTATTAAATTTCAATCATCTGGAACATTCAGTTACTGTCAATCGTATTTGTATAAAAGAGTTTTAAAGGCTATATAGTTAAGATAAGTACATGTAAGATGTTTGGTCAGTTGCACCAGAAGATTGATTCTATCATTCATCTCTTCGACCACACAATAATCCAATCCTTCTATATGGTCGTGAGATTTCATTTGTGATCAGCTAACATCAATAGTTCAATTGTAAAAATATCAGATTATACATTGTTAAAGCCATTTGACAATATGCTTTGTGATAAGTTTCATATAAAATTTCTAAAATAGATCTATATCCTGGGTACATAAAAAAGCATCTAATAATGCAGAAGTAGGCGAACTTGGAAAATATTCAGTCTATATTGAAGTTATTTGTAACACAGTTTAAATTAATATTAAAGAGATATCAAAACCTTTTACACTAAATGGATAAATAATCATAAATTGAACATTGAAACGTGAAGATATAGGAAAATTGTAGCACAACGACACTGCAAATTTGTGTTCTTCAAATTTAGTTCAAGATAAAATTCATTTTTCGGTGTCTTGCCTTAGTTTTTATACTTGTAAAAAAACTTTTTTTTATAAAAAACTAGATATAAATACAAGAATTCTGAATCATTGTGTAATGCTAAAAATTGTCTGACTTATATATGTCTTTAGAAAATCATGATGTTGTGGCCAATATATTTTCGATCTTTGAAGATAGTTCGACACGACATCATTGCTGTGTGTACATGTGTGTGGCACTTTTAGTTCCTCCTATTTGATCTTTTTCAACTTCAGTGGTTCCAGCATTCCTACTTGATTACTGCCTAAAACCCTTAGGATATGGTGTCCGCTTTTTAAATTTAAATTGTCTTTGGACGTTATGCCTGCGATATGCATGCATCATAACCTCTGGTCCCCCTTCAAAATCCCATCTTCTTTCCATGATAACCGCCGTATGAACACATCTTTGGATGTTTCTTGATTTTGGTAAGTGTGGACAGTAACTAGCATTTTACAGTACCGTCCATGAGCGGGCTCAATGAAACCGAGCCTACAAAATTTCCAGTTTTGTCGTCTTAAGGGATTCCGTTATTTTCTCTATCTAATTGCAACGTTTCTGTTTCATATATTTAGATACATAAGGAATCATTTAACATATCTAATTTAAAAAGTTATTTTGTGACAATGAAGAGCAAGGATAGTTTATAGAATACACCACTGTCACATACATAGTTTATATGAACTCTAACTAATATAAGAAATGTTTTATAAATACCATAATATTTTAATTGTAAACCCTCTCTGTTGTTGTTTAAATCTTGTTTGCATATTTGTTTTTGCACACTATCTTGCAATATACATGTATATGTTATATTGTTATTGTATATCCTCGCAGGCCATGTGACATTATGGAATTTGAATAATTTAATTGTACAACCCTTCAAATAAAGTATTGTCAAATATCTTCATAGGGTATTTGTTAGACACTAAAGTCTTGAGGTTTCAGATATGTTATTGATTTATTTTAATTGCATATTATGTGTCTTTTCAGTTTCATTTATGACCTATGTTATTTGTGTTTTGACCAATACCAATTAAGCTTTATTTACATTAACATCCTTATTTGTTGTATGAATTATGTTGAAACTTGCCATTTGTTATACATAATGGTTCATTATGCCGTTGTATTTGAATCTTGGTTGGTTTAACAAACTATTTATTATATATATATAGGTCATTTGAAGATACTTAAACCAAGACAGAAAAGTTTTGTTTGGATCAGAAACGTTGAAGGTTTTCATAAATTGCGAAGAGGAGAAGAAATGTGAAGAAAATCAATAGCAACTAGAAATGTGTTCATAGGACACGGATGCCCTTTCATTTCACGGTTTTGTTAGTCTACTGACGCACATCAGGACAGTATGACAGACGAACAGACAATAGAAATGCAACATGACCCCCCACCCCTAAATGATTGGGGCATAAAAATGACATCCAACATGGAACGCACGCAGGGTCAAGGGCAAATCTAAATGTCTTATTTGCGACTACAATATGGTTTCAGAACAGAAATGTTAACAAATAAAATTAGAAAATGAAAGTGTTATCATATTACTCTATAAGATGTTCAGTTACGAGAAAATGAAATACAAGACAAGTGGAATTATATGTTTTTTGTTCTTTATATAATGAAATCTTGATATAAAAAAGAGCGATTCCAACGTGTTCAAAAATGCATGTTGATTAATTAAAACAAATCTAGGTGTATTTCCACTACATGTATAATATACCACCATAAGGTGTTTTCCAGTTTATTAAGTTAAAATGTTAATATGTCTGCCAAAATGTGTCCATAGGACACGGATGCCCTCACACTCCACTGTCAGTCTACTGACGTACAAAAGGACAGTACGTATGGCAGTGGGACATACAAAGGAAATTCTACATGACTCCCCTATCCCTAAGTGGTTGGGGCATAAAAACTACATCAAATTAAAACAATGTTGATTTTCCCCCAATATCAACAAATATACAAGCAAACCCCAGGTGCACATCTACACATGCTGACCAACATTTCTTTAAAGTTTCATGACTCTAGGTCAAATATACTTTTTGAGCGATGCTCATTACAAGTTGGAAATTGCAAACTTCTACCAAGGGCATAAATTAATTAACTTTACAAATATTGAATTAATCCACAAGTTAAAATTCAGAACAGAGAGTTGAATACCTGGAATAACATATAGTAAAAATGAATGTTTAATATGGAAGTGTCCGAAAGTGTTCCTGGGTAAAGATCTGATTGCATTGGTGTTGGTGTAAAAACGACATAATTAATATAACGATGAATGCATAACTCCTGTAACCGGTGATAAAAGAT